CAGACGATCCGAAGGAACTCGGCAATGCGCCTGTAATTTGGCAAACTAAAACCGATGATGTCGTTCTACGCGCAGTTCCACTATCTTGTGACTCCACTGTAAGTTATACAGCGAGGAACGTTTTCGGTGCCGCTGCACCCATCGCTCAAAGAGCTCTTCTTTATTGAAAGATGTTTCGCAAGGTGCGAGCACCACACAAATCGTCCGCATCGAGGGTACTGAAAACCTCCTCTTTGAGCGCAAAGTCGAGTGCGGTACATATCCATCGGGATGTTCGAGAATCCAAGAAGCGAGCTAAGAGTGCTTTTCGTTCGTCAAGCTCAGCTTGTGTAGTGGCTGGGGGTCCGATCACGTAGACGCTTAACGATCGAGTGATCGCGTCCTTCGCTTTAGTAATGGGTCCACCGCGCGGAAGCCGTATTCTGCACGAGGGTCTAGGACAGAACGTGGATACGAGTGCATGAAAGATGCTTTGTGGGCAGCCCCCAACTGCTGCTCCTGTGCCTTGTCGAGATAATTGGTAACGATATTACTTCTTCCAAAAGTCGAGAGGTCGGAAAACGGACATGGTGTCCGCAAGGCTCGAGCAGAGCTCACGTCGCCTCGCTGGGGCACCTCGCCCTCTTTTTCTTCCCACCCTTGGAAAGGAGTATCTGACTCGTAGCCGGCCACCTCCGAATCCTCGATGTGGAAATCCGTTGCCATGGCGGGCGCGGTGAGCGTCGTCCGATCTCCAAGAGCTTGGGATGTGCTTTCCGTGAAGCCGCGGTCGTATGGTCCGGAGTTGCAACGCATGCAGGAGACGAAGAGGGGCTCTGCCTTCGGGTGCTCTCGGGACCAGCGAGGCTAGGTGTTTTTCGTGTCATAGACACAGAGCTCAATGAGCAGCAAATGCGTGAAGAAGGTCCTGGAAACGTAAAAATGCCTCAGACAAGCGAGCCTCCTACGAGGCGACAGCTGAATGTTAATTTTGGATATTCACAGTTTTGATGGAGGAGAGTGTAACGGGGTTACGCCGATAGAGGATGTGGACTGTCGTGGATCTGGAGGACACGAACAAATAAGTCCATCAGTCAACATTGCATTTGGACTGTTGTTGCCTGATATATAGGGTGGGTCACACAAGATGGTATGACCACACAATGACGTGGCTACATCTTAACTAGAAGCCACTACGTGGCGGGACTGCCAGTAGTTATGCAGTATAATAAGGTCTTACAATTTAATTCGGAAATCCTATAAATCAAGATTTAGGCGGCTCTGCCGCAAATAAAACAAGGCAAATCATTTTGGACGGAAGTGTGTATTTCCCTTAGGTTAAGCTTTTAGGTTAGCGAATTGCGATCCGCTTCACTCATACTGGTTTCTAGAACAGATCGTAAGGTCGGTGACCTTAGCTTTGCTTCTCGAAGCAAAGAGCTACGGCAGTCCCGTCGCAAGTGACCTCTACATCTGCGAGGTATGATGAGACTCAGTACTATCCCGGCAAGCCGCCATCTATTGCACTGCAGTAGGTCAATCTTGCTGATGTATGACCGCGAATTCCTTTAGTTCACAAAGCGAAATTATTCCTTCCAGTTCACCAGATACTGCTCCACCGGCCCGCTGTCCCTTTCACATGAGAGTGGGCACTCTTTGCTCTTTGAGCAGAAACGGCGGGTGACAATGCTCCATGATATATAGTTCTTGTGAGCTCTCCAGATTATGACCGCATCTGAACCCTTTATAAAGTTTGAGGGTGCGGTCGATACTGACGAGTTATCTTTTTGATGCACTCTTTGAGCTGCGCGAATGGCCAAATGATTGTAATGAGATTGTTGTTTCGAATTGGATAGGCGCACAGATTTAAGGTTTCGTTAAGACGTCGCTACAACAAAGCGCAGCACAAATGAATGACTTGATAGCGCGGTCGAAGTATGTTCTTAACGATCGTAATGAACTTGCCTTCTCGTTGGGATAATAATAGTGTGACTTAATATCTGTGTCAGCTTAGCCATGAGCAGTGAGATCAGAATCTAACCTTCTTGCCTGTAGGTAGAGTTATCCTTTTGGCAATTCTCTCACTTTAAATTGATGTGTCCTCCGTCTGCCTGTGGCAGCTACATGATACGTTTGCACATCGTCATAGCATCGTAGACTTGGTGCGTATTGCTTAATCTGGCTGAAATAAGAATTGTGATCTTACTGCGATGTGTAACTGGGTAGATACCAATACCAAAATCGTATCGACAGCATTGCTTTACCAAGACCAGAGTTTTTCATGGGGCAGAATCATATATACTAAATGAGTCAAAACCTGCAGGGGCGTGTACCTTTCTATCCAGCGCAAATCTAGTCATTGAGAGCACTTTGCTCTAGCACCGAGTTCGCTCCGCGCAAATATTTCGAATTACACCCTCGACAACGAGATCAAAGCATTTTGTCTTTGGGGGTGATTTGCGCTGGACATGTTCAATTAGATGTCGAGAAACTTTTCAGTGATTTTGCTGTCGAGCGTGGGTCATAATCCGAGACAATAGAAACAGGAAAGCCATGTCGGCTATTGTTTCGTTTTTACCAGCTTGACGGCATACTTATGTTGTTGACGTTAGCAAGAAAACTCATCTTGATCACACAGTCATAAACCTCAAAGCTGGTATTACTAGACGTAATTTTTGGCAGACCAAAGATAGACTCCATTCTAGTAATATACTAACATATTGCCATATCCGACAGACTGAACAGGGGTGCGACACATGTGACAAAGATCTTATTCATTGACACGTTTCATGCGTGTACTCATAAGTAGTTTCCTGTTGGATTACAAGTACATTTATCTTCGTGCCGAGGAGGTCAACGCTATCATCCGAGTATATCTTGTCTTCTGAAGCTTCCAACACTGCAGCACATGTTGCCCATACCCCGTACTTTTCAGTTCGTCGATGTGCGACGTACATGCGACACGAAAGCGTACCCGCCGCCACATTAAGCCGACCCAGTTGATACTTCACCTCGAAGATATACTCAGCAAAGCATAATTATCTTGCGTCTACTGCAGTAGAAGCATTCTGCTGTGCGGATAGACGCATGATGTGTGTAGATCAAAAATGGTTGCGAGTCTAGTAGGGGTATATTAACTTGGCAAGATTATTTTTTATCGCAAGCATCACTTTGTCATGGGATAAGTTGTTCTTTTCCACCGCGTTATACTGACAAATTGCAAGCTCGATAAAGACCCCATGCCACTCTTTCATCTGCTCAGAATAGGGCAAACTACTAACTGTATCAAACAATCCATATCCTGCTCAAAGCTGTCGCAGTGCCATGTTTGCCACATAAGCGCTTCTGCTATGCTGGAGATATAGGTCTATGGCTCGCAAAGCTCTGCTACGAGACATATTTGCCTTGGGTGTTGGCTGACATGCTGAATGCAACGTTAAAGCCCATCAATTTCCAGTAACTGCTAGAACTAAATGTGCTTCCAAGTTGAGTCGATGCGTGTCCAGCTGGCTAATAATGCTGACAGATTTGTGCCGTGGCAGTTGTATTATTATCTACTTACACATAAATGACTATCAGTATTACAATCAGATAAAGAGAATAAGGTTAACTGACGCACAGCGACATTTGTTGTTGTAGCAACAGAGTGTTTCGGCTTCACTAAATTGCCAGTTCGTTTATTTCAATAGAACTGCGACGTCTTTCCGCATTCAGTAAGTTGTATGTTTATAAAACCGCTAGATGTCGACTCCAACCTGGCATTTATCTTGAAAGTCTTCAAAACCCTGTTTGCCTTCATCCTAGCTGACGTACTTAACATGCTTAACCTCCGACTTTTGGCCTGGGATGAGTTACGCAATAAATGCTAAAAACACTTGCTGTTGCATGTCCTCGTCGATAAACCGGTGTCACGACAAGAAGGCAGCATACACGCTGGCATATTTTCAATGTATTTTGTAAAGATCAATAATCATTTCGACAAAGTTGGCCAGCCCCTGAAAAAAGCGTGACATTCAAAGACTGAAAGAAGGGTGTAATCGCGTGTTTTTAAGGGGAGGGATGATGCGTTTGTAACAATCACAGGATCAAAGCACAAAAGCTCTGAGCAGATAGAAAGGAAATGGTTGTATTCATCATGACTTTTTGACTTTTAGAATATCTAAATCTTGAAGACTTATGACCACAAATTGCTGTTCATTGGTGTGCTGTGCAGCAACTTACAACACGAGGAGTTTGAGCTGGTATAGCAAAAGTACTAGTGGTGTGCGGCCCATCCAAATAGCATTTACTTCCCAGTGGTGGCACAGCTTTTGTCACTGTAAGTCATCGCAGCGGTAAGTTCGAAGTGCTCAAGTTATACGAGACGTTTGTGATACACGATCATAAGCGTTTAAAAAAAAGCATCCAAGCACCAAGTTTATTCTACTCACGCAGATAGAAATCAACAAGCGAATCAAAATGATAATGTTCAATAAGCTGGTAGAATCGTGGCAGGTTTTGCTTGGCACTTGTGCCTCGAAACTTGCACAGGTCGACATAAAGATCGGTAAGGATTCCAGCTAGATAGTTCAGTGCCTTGGGGCTAACCTTAAATTCCGCCAAAATCTTCTCCGAGTTTTCAAGAATCTGCTGGTATTCCGGCGCCATCCAGACCGCATAATCTTCTTCATGCAGCTGTAGCTCTTTTAGACCATCGATAAGCTTAACTTGCGAGGCCAGTGCGTGTTTGGCATCCAACAAAGGCCTCAAGTAGCCTAGCATTACTACTACACTCTCCTTCTTTATATCTAGCGCGATGTTTAGCGTAACCTTGCGGGCCGTCGCTTCCTTGGTAATCACCTCTTTCAAAATTGCAATTACTGAAACGGAAGGCGTTGAGAAGCTGGCTTCCCCCTTACAATATCGACACACCAGTAAGGCTCCAAGAAATGAGTTTCGATAGCGCAATGTAACGTCCTCGGTCTGTAGACGGCCAGGGACTTCAGGCAGGCACATAGACACCCAATCATGAATCTGCACGAGAGAAAAGTCGCCACTTAATTGAAGCGTATTGCATGGCTTCAATAGTTCAGCTTCTTCCGCATCACTCAGCTCAAGGACGCGATGGTGTAATGAGAGCGGTTTCACATAAAATTTAATCGTTTGCGCCGACCGAGGTTGTGTATTAGCTATTACTGTGGCTTCAACGTGTCCAAACTGTCCTTCGATGGTACGCACTTGAAATTCCAATCGATGAGTGGGTTCGAGACAGCGATAAGTGGCTAGAAAGTGTGTTCCATTGGCAGGATCGACCGGTGACTTGCTCACAATAGCGGTATTGTTCTCATTCTCGAGTAGATCTAGTGGTACTGCTGAATGCAGCACGATCATTTGAATGCCCACCGGAATTTCAAGAGATACGTCATAGACTGCCAACGCTGCATTCAGTTGAAACTTGCTGTTCACCACCAATTCTTCTGCTAACGAAAGAAATTCTTTGTCCTTCACGCCTCGTTGCGTACTCATTCGAGCAATTTTGTCTTCGAGAGTGGATATTTCTTTACGCAACTTGGTAATGCGGGTCTCTCGATGCACAGTTCCACGTGATCGACCGTAGCTGTCATCGCCGTCGGGTTGGTCTAGTGGTTCAGTAGTGAAGCTTAATACGCGACCAGAAAAAGTTGTTGCCAGGAGCTCTTCGAATCCGAGTGTAGTCACGATTCCACCTCGAACACACCGAATACTCTCGTTATTGACATGCTCATATAACTTAACCACATTCCCCGAACTCGGTTGAAACGATACGACTTCAATACGACCATCATCTCGACCCACTAAAATCTCTGGATGGTCATCACGATTGATGTCAAAGCATGCAATTGAATTGATGGTAGCTGTAGATAGAGGCATGGATATATTTCCATTGGCGTCTTGTTTGTTCATTTCTGAAGACTGTGAAGATGTCTTCCATTTGATCTTGAGCTTGTCTCCGTTGTAACTCAAAAGACCGAGAACTCCAGCAGCTGTGCCATATAGAATTAAAGCAGGATCTGATGTGGTAGCACTCCTGCTTGTCATCGAGGGAACTCGACAAAGAGCAGTGACTGGTGCAGCCACTGCTTTCTTGGCTACTGATGTGGAATCTTTAATGATGCGAATGTAGCGGTCTTGGCAGCCCAAAATACCATGAAAATCCTGCTCATGGTTAAGTGACACGACGAGTGCATCGTTGATTCGATCCGGACATACATACGAATGTTTATCAACTCCATTTTCATATTGATTAAAGGTAAAGTCGGTGATTGTCCAAAGTTGGTTATCATACGCGTGGATCTTGCGCAATGGTTCTGCCAAATTGCTTTGAAACTTGAAGAATTCCTTTCCTTTCTTATTGATACCGTGGACATGTTGTCCTGTGGCAATAAACGTCTTGTCTTCAGTCCCTTTGCTCGTCCCGGCCACTATACAGGACACTGGACCTGCAAGCGTTATCGACTTGAACACATTTTGAGGCTCACCTCTCTTCACTTGATAGCAAGACACTACGCCATATTCGTCTCCAATTACGAATTTTTGCTGCTCCATATAAACACGAATCACTTGTCAAAAACGTGCACCCTAACAACCTAATCATACACTTAAATTCTAAACCTTTTTTTTCTTCTTGCTAAGAGGCAGCAGTTGCAGCGAGTGGTGGCTTGCAATAGGCCCAACTTTAAGTATTTCAGCTTGCGAGAGAGCTAACCCGGCCATGTTTCTTTTTTCGACTATAATTTAGGATTTAAACAAGATCTTTGAAAAGACGCGGCGATTGTTTATCGAATGGAGGTCTTAAGAAATTCTATTAGATCAGAAGCAGTTCTTTGTTTTAAGACCACCAGAAACTCACTGAAAAACTTGTAGAGAGAGACTTTACATAGTGCCAGTAATTGGGAGGAATGTAAAGCATTTCACCCTCACGTAAAATGCACTCAACGTATTGTGCATGACGAAATTTAGGAAATTGCACATAGTCTGGATCTTCAACATTTACTGAACTCGTGTTAGAGAGCAAACCGTCAATTCGATAAAGTTTATCGCTCTCTTTTGGAGAGTAGAGTCGAATGTACTTTGCTCCAACAACTTGACATAGGAGATTGTCTTTAGGATCAAAATGCAATGGGGACACAGTCCCTAAGGGACCAAACCAACTATTGATCGTTATATCTTCCCCGTCATCAATGACTTCAGTGCGCTGCAAAGTGCAGTAGTCGGGGATCATAATGTCACGTTCAAGCGAAGGGATCTTTAAACGAAGCACAAGCATTGGTAAGTATTGTTATGGGTATCTATCAAAAGTAAGGCCAAATACCTGGTCAAAAAGACGGTGTTGCGCCAAATATCCCATTTTCTGAATTGCCACGGTTGTACTACCTTCGCTACTGTCGATACCCACTTCATCTTTCGCTAGCGATGGTATGATAAACCGATCCAAGAATTCGTTCATACTCATGAGCTCTTGTCCCCAGTCATCTCCTAAGTAATCCGACCCTACCTAAGGCCGCAAACGAATTAACCTAAGCTAAAGACTGCAGAATAGTATCAAAAACACACCTCAACAGGCACCGTTCGGAGCCCAGCGACCTGGCGAAGATACTCGATGTTCTTCCATGCTCGTGTCGGTCCAGCGGCTCGCCCTAATGCGGGCCAAAACTCCATCGCACCTGTAATAATGGCTGGCTCACTGATTTAGCAAACGCAGCCAGAGTTGTCGTTAGACATGTGCTGCAATTTAGTTATCACGGCAGATCGTACTTCTGCAGCATCATGTTTTGCCGAAATTTTTCCAGCGAAGGCATTTTCAAGCGTCGCAGAGGAAATTTTAAGGTCTTTTTTTCAAAATTGGTTCTACTTGTTTCATGATCCAGTCGCGGTTTCTGGATCGAACAACCCAAGGAAAAAAAATTTCAATCGAAAATTTTCAATCGACACAAGACAACATGAGAGATTACAGACCTTCACATTCCTTTGTTCCTGCTCGGGTAATCGTGTCTTAATACGATAAGTTTAGCAAAAAACGAACACCGATGTAGACAATAAGTGTGGCGCATCATTCAAACTCTTCAATAGAAAACACGCACAATTGATTTCTCCGGCGTGTTCATAGCGAGCTGCTTTTCCACGTTAGCAATCAGCGCGTGCGTTTCAGATGGCGCCAGTGGCCCTGACATCATGAGACACTGACAGAGATCACAAAATCAGATGTCGCACAATTTTCGAATGCAGTAAGAAGTCAACTTTTCAACACACCATGTCAAGAATTTTCAAGCTCTCTAAAAATTGCTGACGGTGTGCCAAGCAGCGCGCACGCAACACACTGGCAATACCAAAGGATTGACGCCACACCGGTAGAACATCTTTCCAGCTTCCACAATGCAGCTTTTCCCAGCTTCGCTCATATGCGGCATTTACCAGCACCTCGACAAATTTTTTGTCTTCGGACTTTGCCGCTCGCTCCAGTAAATCAGCGATTGCGGCCCCACCAGCATCTTTTAGCTCTATTACATTTCAAAAGTTGCATTTAAAAGAGTGAGAACATATAATCAACGGACACACTTACGCTGTAGGAGGTGCGGAGAGAGATTTGGAGGCTCAGTATCGCCTATCACGCTCATACGTCGCTGCAGTATAATATCCTTATAACAAGAGCATTTCTTAGGATTTGTGATTACCAGCTGGAAAATGTAGTCAAAGTAGAAATAAATCGGTACTTGCAAGAAATAAAGAACTTCCTAAACAGATACAAAAATAAACGTTGTATTCAAATGAAAACTCATGCGTAGCGTGCGAAATGATATAATGTTTGATATCTTATTCTACTGCTTATGATACCGTTAAAGATTGTAATGACTTAATTATTGATATAAAACCGGTTATTGGTTTGAACTTCCCACTGCACATCAAAATAAACGTGATCGAGGTAAGGGTTGCAGAAGGAACTCATTGTCAACATTCCAGCCTCGAGTTACTTTAAATTATGGCGTTGCGCAGAGTATCACAGTGTCAACGTAGCGCTGATCGTGTACACGGACACTTTTCCCGTTCATACACGGCATTATATCGTGCAAAATTTCGCCAAACTCCGACTCCTGCGGCCTTTGCACGTTCTGATCCGTTGCTGGTCAGCTTTGGCGTGCCCTTAAACCTACTAAACTCCAATTCGCTGTTGTTGGACTCGACGCGCTGCGTATCCCAGCAAAGTACCCATCAGAAATATTCTGAGGATTCTTACGAGGATATGAACCCGGAGAAGGTGGCGATAGCGACTTCTACCGCGTATGACATGCTGCTGCAGCGATTGTACCAGGTAAATCGTTTTACTGCCGTAAAGCTCGGACTCGAAAACATGCAGCAGCTGAATGCAGCCTTTGGAGATCCTGCATCACAGTTAAAAATTGTACACGTGGCAGGTACGAATGGAAAAGGATCGGTGGCATACAAGATCGCCAAAGCGCTTGAGCGCTCAGGGTACAAGACTGGGCTATTTGTTTCTCCGCATGTTTCTTGTTTTCGCGAACGTATTCAAATCAATGGCCAGCTGATTTCCGAGAGAGATGTCTGTGATGCACTGTCCGAAATCTTTACTATCAGCGCCCAACTTCGGATTCCAGCCACGTTCTTCGAAATCACTACCATGCTGGCTTTTAAGCACTTTGCGAAGCAGAAAGTCGATTTCGTTGTACTAGAGACGGGTCTTGGTGGTCGACTGGATGCGACTAACATTGTCACACCAGTGTTGTCGATCATCACGTCTATTGGATTAGATCATACACGTATACTTGGGAATACCCGCGAGGCCATTGCACGTGAAAAGGCAGGGATTATAAAACCAAATGTGCCGGTGATCGTAGGACCTAATACCCCCGTTAATGTGATGATGGAGTTTGCAACACGGAATAATGCCCCGCTGAAGCAAGTGCCTCGTCAGATGGATTTTGACCATGATTATAACTTAGAGAATACGGCTATTGCCCGCGAAGCATGTGTGCAACTTAACACTATGCAGACCGGTATTAACGACTCAAACAAGATGAGCGTTGATGTGACAAATGAAAGAGTAAACGTTGCACTTGAGTCGCGACCTCCATGCCGCTTTCAAGTGTTGCATATTATCCGTCCTAATTCAACAGAACGCAAGGTCACTGTGGTGCTAGATGTCGCACACAACCCACCGGCCATCGATAAGCTAGTGGAAATGCTCAATCAGAAGTTTCCTTGCAAGAAATTACGGTTCGTGTGCGGGTTTTCGGCCGATAAGGCAATTAACAAAGTTCTGGATAAAATCTTGGATGCATTACGCGATGAACACCCAAATAAAAGTGAAGAGGAGCTACAGAAATACATTCATCTGGTCAAAGCGAATCATCCACGCGGGGCGTCGTTAAAAGATATCAATATGGCGCTATCAAGCGCAGCTGCTGAGGGCAAAGTGACTTACGAATATAAAAGTATTTCTCCAATCAAGGAAGGTGTGGAGGCTGCACTAAACGCATCGCGTGCATCCTCTGATGATGAAGTAGTCGTAGTATGCGGCAGCGTGTTCCTAATGGCAGAAGCACGTCAGACTCTCGGTCTCAAGGAACCAATTGACAGCCCATCTCTTCAAGCTGTTGCAGGCTCACATATTTCTGTTAAATAGCTGTCACACTGTAGCCTTTTAAGTATTTTTGTTGTTTAAAACTTGTTCATACCGGTACGGAAATATCCCATAATTTCACTTTTACGCCAGAAGTCAAGAAAGATCCCCAACAGTAGTAAAAAATCTCAATGAGTGAGTACAAGAAAAGCGTTGCTTCCTCGGGTGCCGCACTATTGTCGGAATTGCCGCAGCGCGTGGCACATGTGCACACGTTGGTACAGCAATATGCAAGTGAGCGAGCACCATCTAAGCTGCGTGCTAAGTTTGCACAGATGGTGCTAGCAGCTCCAGCTTCTGTGAGCTCAAATGGGGACGTACAGGCGCTGCTAGCAGTTGTTGGGGACGAGGTGGCGCAACTCATGAGCTCTATCCAGCTGCTGCAGGTTTGGATCCAGCTTTTGGTACCAAAGGTTGAAGATGGTAACAATTTTGGCGTCGAGGTGCAAAAGTACGCGTACGTGCATCTAAAAGAGGCGTTGGAGAAGTGGCAAAAGACATGGGATTCACTCGCCGACTATAGCTCTGCACGTGCAACAGCAGTGGAAAAACTTAACGCCAAGGTCAACTCCGAGACGAGTACGACTACCACCGTCACTTCGTCGAAAGGCGGCAAGGAAGGCGACGAGGAGAAGAGCGTCACGGCTAAAGTAGAGAAGCAGAGCAACACTGGCAACAAGGCACCAGAAGACGCTCTTGCCGCTGTCGTGGAGATTGACATCAAGTGGTACTTCAACTTGCTGCGCGCACTCGAAGGCGTGCGCGACCAATACGCTGTAACGGAGGACGTCATCAACAAGAACAAGGAGAAAATTGAACTGCCGCGTGGTAGAAACGATCGTGCTGGATTTAATATGTTCTAGACAAAGAGTTTTGTCTTTACTTAAAAGATTTTTCGAAATGAGACTATTATTCAGCTTACGATGAATTAGTCAACTCTGAATCGTCGCTCTGGCAGATTGCTTCAAATACATGTCGAAACAAGCAAGTAGCATCGCAACAAATTATATCTTACGTAACGTCGGTTTAAATCCAGCCCAGTGGTTGTTCGAGTTACTAATCGTACACATTCTTTACCAAATCGAGACATCGCAAATTAGACATGTTATGGATTGGGTATGCAATGAACACGTTGCCCTCGGAACATAGAAGTGCCGAAGAAGTAGCTGCTAAGCTCTCACTACGTAAAACACAAGCTTTTACATTTAGAGCAGAATACATTTATCTTGCTATGGGGCAAGGTGCAACTGTGAAACTGTGCGATTTTGCGAAGTTCCTGTGAGTATTCACAAGTGCCAAAGTATCGGTGTAAGATGTAATTTCGGCCATTGATACCCCACGTAGGCTACTAGCGTCAGAGACTGTCTGTTCGATCTCAATAAAATTGTTTGCACGAACTCCTAGAGTCAAAGCTTTCTCTGTGCAAAACACATGGCAACCCCACGACCGAGTCATGAACGTATTATAAAATGATTGAGTGCCCATCTTCGAGGTGACAAGACCATCTTAAAACGATTTTGTCTATTTGTTGGTCACAACATGATCACCAACCTGACGATCAGAGGTTGGAGGCGGTAAGAGCTCACCTGAAAGCGCTCACCAGCCCTGAAAAAGTTCAGGTCAGACAAATCCCGTAGCGCCCCGACCGGAGGACAAACGGGTGCGCATGGTACTTACCATGAGACCGCTAGTTTTGAGCGTCCAGGCTTTCGACCATCGAAACGAAGAAACTTTCGATTCTGGACGATGAAAGCTGAGAAGCCCACTGATTCGGCCTTGGTCAAAATGGGACCGTAGCGATCCAGGCTTGCAGTCTCCAAGCTGAGAAGCCGCGCGTGAGAATGGGCATTGACGTGCACCTATGCGCTAAGAAGAGGCGCTTCTACCTGTGATAATTTAAAGCGACAGAAGAAGCGAACGTTTCCACCGCCTAATCAGGCCTATCAAGTTCATTCCTAGTCCTTGTCCAATCGTCAGGAGAGACGAGAATTGGCGAACTATTTCCGTCAGTTAATAGCTTTATTGCCGCAATGGCATCTGATCCTTTTCCGCAGGCAGAAACGGTTGCCAGCGTCACAGACAATCACCGAAACAATGATCCCTGCACCGAGAACTTTCACCTCGACCCTACCTCTTTCGCGGAAGCGATGCATCAAATGCCACATAGGTGCTCGTCCATTTGTACAGCTTAGGCTATCAGTAGTGGCAACTCACAGAGCTGTACGTTGTACTCAGTATATGACCACTGAGTGTGGTGTCTTGGGCCACATAGAGGATACGGTAATTCAAATTCTAATCGTGAGGAATCACAATTCGTGGTATATCCGTTGAGTCGGTGCTATAATACAGCAACCCGTTATCAACGAATATCGGTGCAACCGTGCGCGCAGTCGCGACGACAACTTCTTGTCCAAGTTTCAAAACTCCTTGCTTCTGAGAGCCTGTAGCGGCGCTACACACATACCATCACCCACGTATGCGGCGCGGATCAAATCCGTCTGCAAGCTCGTAGTCTGGACTGCGTAACAACGCATCAGCCAAAGCATTCTGCTTTCCTGGCTTAAAATTCACCTCAAAGTTATATTCTGCGAAGAAGGAGAGCCACCTGGCCATCTGAGACAACTGAGTTGCAGTGTGTAGTAACGCATGATCTGTGTAGATCGCTAACGGGTTGAAGCCGAGCAGGTGCAGCCTGAACTTGACAAGTGCATACTTCATCGCAAGTAATATATTGTCGTGGACTGGGTAGTTTTTCTCCGTAGCCTTAAATTGGCTAGATTCGAACGCAATCACCCGATATCGCCCCTCGGCGTCTACTTGCAGCAGTGCACAGCCGATGACAAAGTCCGAAGCGTCACAGACGACACTCAAAAGACGATCGGGGTTGGCAACGCCAGTATTGATGCATGCAGGAGGCTGTCTTTGACCCTGTCAGAAGCCTCCCGAAGCTCGGTGTACCAACACCATTCGGTATTCGTTTTAAGGAGATTCGACAATTGCCGTGCCATTTCCGCATAATTTTTGCTATGCTTATGCAAGTAGTTGGTGAGGCCAAGCCACTTGCGCGAATCCTTTTGGTTCCTTTGGAACCGGTCGGTCTACAATGGCCTTCTCCCTAGCGGGATCCGCTCAAAGACTACGCTTCCCAATGAAGCACCCTAAATAAGGGATTTCTTCCGCGCCGAATATGCACTTGTCTGCATTATCATACAGCTTATTCGTGCGCGTGCACTCCAGCACCGCTCTCAACTAGACGATGTGACTTTCCTCAGCTGTCCTCCTGTGCCCCGCACGACTGTGGACGAAGATGTCGTCGAAGCATGCTTGTGCATACGCCCGGTGGGCCCTTAACAGCTGCGACACAAGACGATTAAACTTTGGTGGTGCATTGACAGCCCTTGGGGTATCACCAGCCACTCCCAAAGCATCCCTCTAAGAGTACCCACCGCTATCAGCGGAATATCACTCGCTCTCATGTGAAATTGATAATAACCGTCGACCAAGTCGAGGGCGCTGTACTTTGTACGGCCAACCATATTGTCCTGGAGAACATCTAATAATCGGCGTCTGTGCCGGAATAGTGGCAGCGTTTAGATTATCATTATTATAAGCGTGAGCGATACGCCACTTGCTGTTCGGCTTCCAGACACGAAACGTGGGTGTCGAATGGGGAGACTTGATCACACGCACCATTCCTGCGTCGTGGTTCGCACGGGAAAAGGTGTCAATGAGGTCGCACTGCCTCTTGGGAAGGGCAGTATTTGGCTCCCGGAATTAGGTCGATCTAATGACGCACAACTCGATCCGGAGGTAGGACCGACGGCGGGTCTTTGGAGACGACGTCTTGAAACTTCTTCACCAAAGGATAGTACGGACTCGAGGGATCCTTAGGATCGATGATCTACTCCAAGCCTTTAGCACCCTCTTGGTGTCCTCCTCCAGGACAGTATCATTCAGATGCGGCGACGAGTAAATCTTTTTGTTCGGTCGTAAAATGACCACCTCGGCTAAATCGCCTGTCGTTAAGGCACCGCCAAACCCTTCGAAGGACATCTCGTCCAGCTTAGGAAGCACGTCCTCCGCATGAAAACCCGATAGGGTGAAGTCGCCGTCATCCTTTCCCGTCGTACCTTTGACGAGTATGTATCGCTGTGCGCTATCGTCTACGGTAAGCACATCCTGGGTCAGGGTCGACGCCTTTGGTCTTGCAGATAACATACCGCATCGCGGTCTCCTTTCTGTTTAGGTGGTACGTTCGGCGAGACTTGTGAGAACACGCACTTAGCGTCGTCCAGTATAAGCCCTTCCTACTGCTCCATGGTAGCCCTGCAACTCCACGCGCATCTGAAGGGCCTTGCCCGAGATGCCTCGGACCTCATCCAACCATGCCACTCGTGGCATGCAGCGACTTCTATAAAACGAGAGCAGTGCTCAGGGAAATACGTACCACTCCACGTGCATTACTGAGACCTCGCCCTCGATGCCTCGGCCCTTGGTCAAGCATGCCACTTTTGACATGCAGCGAATGCTTTGATACTTGAGCAGTGCTCAGTGGGTTACGTGCAACTCCACATTCAGCCCGCGAGCCATGCTTGGGACTCCTGTTCGATACACCCTCGGGTTAACAAACTCGGGTGTTTTTGATCTTCAGCACGTTGACCGTCTCGGCCCAGTGCCCGCGACAATAGCGTTTCTTCCTCCGTGCAGAGGTGGGTTCATGACTCACCAAAGTTTGCCCAGGAGAGTGCACGTAGCACCCAAAGTCTTCGACCTCCAGTCGATTCACGGCTCATGATGTTCCAGCCATGCCATACCAAGGATGGGGTCATACCTTGAATCCAAGTCTAAGACTAAGCAGCATTTCGCGCTATTTAAGTCAAGAAACTTGACACCGAGGTCCGCAGTGACCCTTGGCACCGTTACACATGTCCCCATCGCTAAGCGAAGAGTGACGATGTCACTCAATCGTGCCATCAGCGCCTCAGCATACAGCTGACTGCCTTACTTCGTGGAGCGTCGAGCATAATTGCCCGACAGAGTGGATCTGGATCTTCCATGGCTTCGCAAAGCCCATCACGGTCGCTTCAACGACCAGCAAGCCCGGCTTGCATAGACGTTTCGTGTTCAGGAACACGAAGCTCTTTGCTAAACTCTACATCCATAAGGCTTAACAGAATCCAGTTCTTCCCCATAAGGCCGCCTCGCGCCTACTGGGTGTTGTCGTTTTCCCGCGACAAACAAAAAACGTGTAAGTATCGGGATGTCGGTTCGATGACTCTTGATGCGCCTTGTGCAGGAGACAACCAATTTGAGATGACGGGTGTCTTCACAGACAAATCACCGTTGGGTGTTCGTGTTCGAACGCTGCTTGGCAGCCTGGAGCTGCCTCCTCGTCCTTAGCATAGCTGAGATCCATCGTGTATTTCAACCAAGTCGTGTCAACTTAAAGCTGAATACGGCATACAAGGCCACATTTACTACTTCTTCAAAAGAAGACGGTTGGACATGGAAGACTTCCATATCGGCCACGCCAGTGCGGAGGTTCTCCTTAAAGACGGTCACTGTGACCACCTCGGTAGGAAGATTGGTCGCCAAACCGGCAATGAGATTCTCAACTCTTGAACTATGTCCACTAATTCCTTCTTGCCTTGTCAGGCGGCAAGGAAACGCGATCGTACGCGATATGCCTGGTTAGGCGACGAGGACACTCGCAAAAGCTGACGCTTCTGCTCCTTTCTGGAGGGGGACGCTGCTTCAGCCGAATCACTGCACGTTAGTGCCCATTTTTGCGCACAGCACCCGAGCTTGGAGATAACTAGGGCCACGCGCTGTTGCTCGTTCTGGGGCATGGCGGATGTCATAGCCAACTCGGCCTCTCTTAGTCAAAAGAGGAGTTTCTATCCATCCTTACCCTCGGAGGTATTAGCACTCACCATGAGCGGCCTGGGTCGGTAGGAGTTATCCGTCTTCGACGGTGGCGTCATTGACGCAGTCGACAGCGACAGCTTCTGCTGTAGATGCTCTAGCAGAGCATATACATAGCTCGACGACGCCTCGAGGCGCGCGCTGATCGCTTCAGGTCTTTGCAAAGTGAGGTATTGCTCGCCCTCAGGGCCTAGCAATGACATCAGCTTTTTAAGTCTGTCCTGTATACGCTGAGGTAAATAAGAGAGAGCTGCTTTATCCTTACAGAGGGTCGGTCGGAACAACTCTGGTGTAGATTGAAACAAGTGCTACCAAGTGCAGCGAGGCTGTCGTAGCTCTTTTGATCAAAGATATCTTGATTAAGGTCGGCGAAACTTCGTTCTATAGGCTGTTCTAGCCACGTACTGACTTCTTGTATAAGTGTAGCCACACAATTTTGTGTGACCCCCATCCTTCCTACCAGGGCACGTGAAACCCCGTTGTCAAAGTTGTTGATTTTGCTACATAGTGTTGGCGAGCTTAGTTGATTATTATCACCAGTCTGCTTGAGGAACAATTGTACGAAGCTTGTTAACTATAATCAGCCAATGCTTAATGCGTGGGAGCATTTAATCAGACAGTGCGGTGGCTTCAATCAGGTATATCCTCTACCACGCTATTTGTAGGATCTATCTAACGATCGGTCTATGGATGGTCCGTACCGACCGTGGAGCTCTGGTAGTTAGTCGCTTGACCCAAGACCGGGAGGTATCTGGTTCGATACCCATAGAATTAAAAAAAAGGCTCGAAGATTGGTCGCTAAAAGTGGTTCATCTAAATAGTGTATCTGCCCTGCCAAAATGGGTGTGTTATAGCTGGGTGGGTTGGGGGCCCCACTGACAAAAATTTTTCCATAGTGTACTAGAAGATATGGAATTCGGTCCCGAAAGGGGTTGGATAGTTACCAACATCCCGCGCCAAAGAAAGCTTGACCTTAGCTTGGAGGTTGCGGTAACGTAACCTCCCGTGATGCTCAGTGATGGGCATGTCCAATCTGGTGCTAAACGCATCGAGAAAAGCTTGCCGAAATCTCGCTGTAAAAGGCGGATCTAGAATTAAGGCAAGTACCACAGCAAGCCATGTTGCCGTTAGTTTTGTCTATAAACAGCGTGACTGAATTATCACCGGCGATCAGCAGTTGAATGAGCAAATGTGCCGTAGAAACCTGCACAGACTAAAATGCCAGCATTACCGAAGGTGTATACTAATGGGCAACCAGCGCTTTACCAAGACCAGTAGGCTGGCCAAGGGCTCCAAGCATGCGGCAAAATAATCACCCTTCCGTTCGTTCACACGAACGCACGTAAAAGCTATTTGTTCATGCTAGGTGACCAATACGTAGCGCTCATCAAGCCAACGAGCGAGAGTTTATTCTGTAGTACAACAAGACTTGTGATTGCTAGTGTAAATTAGACGACGAGCGCTCGAGAACATTAAGCTTTTCAAAGCCTTCACAAGTGGAACACATGACGTACGCCATAATAGACGTCAAATGCACGGCGTCAACATTACATGAAACAACTCACAACCTGGAAGACGCGCAAGCGCGCGATCTATTACGCATTTGTGAAGTTTTCCAAAATAAGTTGAAGTTCTCATCCACAGCAAGGTACGACCCACAACGAGTTTAAGGGCGTCGTTTTCATGTTTGAATGTTTCACGATAAACTTTAATGCGTTGATAGCCTTTTCGCAGTAATATAGTTTGAGAAATATATCGTACGCCATGAAAATGGCGACGCGGTAATTCTGCACATTAGTACTAATATTCGAAAATACTCCTAAATACACTATCACTCAGCACGTTGTTGACTTCCTGTAATGTACACCGTACGTTGCGGGTCAAAAGCATAGAAAATTTCAGCAGTATATATGGACTTTCCATGCGTGTCAAACTCTTCAAAAATATGAAATTTGTTGCAATGACAAATTACGCCAACGCACTGAGATTGCAGTACAACCTGCTACTCGGACGGTCATATACGGCAGCAAAAGTCCAACATGCATGTTATCTGTTTTGAATTCTGATAAATTATTTGTTTAAATTTGTTTGCAAGCAAGCGATGCTATCAGTGCACATTAAATCACCGTGATATAGAATGAACTTAAACCATGACCCGCTCCAACTATTTTGAAACAAGCTTCAATTCCATAACAAATTTTTACAACGATTCATTAAGACAATCTTCAAGCTCTTAAATACCAAATGACACAGTATCCAAAAGCGCTGCAAGCAGTCACCGACCATAAGGCTCACGCTTTTGCGCATAAGCAATGGCTCTAGCTCGGCACAAGCTTGCAAGACATCTCAAGCAGCATATTGCACGCATCCTTTGTAATGTCGCAGAAATAAACGGATCTTAGTCTTGAGAAGCCCCGTTTTCACGCTGAAAGGCTCAACGTGAAAGTCTAAGAAGCGATCAGCTTGTGATTATGCCCTTATTATTTTAAACTGCACTTTTGTCAGGGTCACTGCTACCTAAGAAAGTCTGGAATCTTCATACTTGCTTGAACAAGTACTGAAATAGTTTTAGAAACAGTATGAAACAGATGGATTACTAGCAAGGAAAAAACTTTCGAGCGGACGTAATGGATGATTCTTTGAGTATTCTCAAGCACGTGGTGTCTTTTGCGCCAGAAACAGTTGAAACGGTCGAAAACGTTAAAACGGTCAGAATATCGTTTCACCCAGGGAAAAGATCCACCTCTCTGACCCAGATCCACATTCACTTTAGAAATCCCTAGCATATAAAACATGGGTAAACCAGTCAAGATGGACGGTCGGATAAATGGAACAGGATCGACGTACGAACGTCGTGCCTGGACACGTAAGGAAGACGATGCGATCATTCGTCTTGTGGAAGAATATGGCACAAAGCGTTGGTCAGTCATTTCGGATCATTTAAATGGAGAGCACCACGGCACAGAGCGAACGGGCAAACAGTGTCGCACACGTTGGCTTAATCACTTAGATCCAACCATTAAAAAGGACCCATGGACCGCTGAAGAAGAACAGATTATTGAGGATGCGCAAACTCGTCTTGGTAATAAGTGGGCTGAAATCTCGAAGCTGCTACCTGGCAGGTAAGGGATAAGACATGAGGGATTCTGGCAATATATTTTGGGTATGTTAAAAAGTGCCTAATTAGTGGATGATTTTCGCCTTAGGACGGACAATGCCATCAAAAATCACTGGTATTCTTCTATGAGACGGACAATGCGACGGATGGCTAAGCAGCAGAACAAGACGTTGGGTCAGAATATTCGTAATGGTGTAAGCAGCAATAAAGCTGCTAAATTTGGTGCCGATACGTCTCCGGGTTCTATGGTTGAAATGACTCGAGACGCTTTAAACGCAGGCAACAATTTTCGCCACGGGTTCTCCTCGTCTCAGGCATCAGTATACAAAGAATGTTACAATGCTTTGCTAAATCAAACAGAAGATGGGCGTCCTGGACAGAAACTTGGAAAAAAATTCAACTCGAAGCGAAAACGGAAGGATTTGCGCATTTCTACCAGTGCTTCAATAGGTGAAAACAACGGCATGTTCTTGCCAGATACGCCTCGACGCGTGCTGCATACGCAATTATTACTGCAACTTTTAAACACAGGAGAGGAAGAGTTTGGAACGTTTTTCACCGTTTCCAGTACAACAAATAAAAACAAAAAGCGCAATAAAAGAAATGGCAGTGGACTAGGTGATGGTGATGCGTTTTCCGAAATGGAGAATTCATGTCACGCATTCGAGCATCTTGATATCGATTTTAACGAAGTACGTGTCTGATTTTGATTTGAATTCGCAAGATATTTACTGATTGATCATACGTGACTTAAGCAGCAAGTAGCTGAGTTTTTCAACATGCCAACACCACAAGGTTTGCAGCCTCCGCACAGCTTACGTCGCTCCCCGCGATTCATGTCACCAGCAGGTTTGATGAAAGCAGATGGTACAAAATTCTCGTTTGACGATCTTGATTTCCCAACCGAATTGGACTCAAACACACTTGAATTCGTAAGTAAAAGGTTTTTGACAACTTGATGAAATTACATGCTCATTTCTTGTCAACATAATAGGAAATTTCAAATGAAAATGGTGGGGTGCTACGTCGCTCACCAAGACTTCGCACCGATGTGTCAGTCGCTTTTCCTCACGCCAATGCATCGACATTTGGTATTGGTCGGCAGCCATCTCCTCACAAACGCTTGGCACCTCCAACGATCGATGTTGCGCTTCAGCAAGACACTTTTGATTTTGATCACTCCATTACGCCAACGTTAAAAAGTCCTCAGCTAAGGCAATGGCTCGATGGGTCACCGAAGAATTTTGTTGCTTCTGTCTAGTCGAATAGACAGCAACTTTAATTTCAAAACCTTTCGCACTACTCACTTGGGTGATGCCGATGCTAGAATCTGCAGCTCCCATAGAGTTTTATACCCTGTATAATGAAATGCACTCTTAAGAAACCAATAATATGACAAATAAGACAATATTAGAGAAAATACTATTGAACGTTCGCTTTCAAAATAGTACTCGAGATTTTGATAGCAAAACACTAGTGCATACAAGTATCGAAATACTTCTTCTGAGAAAGACCAGAGTAAGTTTTATAATGAATCCCGTAATTCCAAGTCACGATTTGTCGCCTCATGTGGATTTTAATCGGATTGAAGCAACCTGTGGCGCACAGTATCGGCGAGAGAATGCAGCTTTGAGAGCACAAGTGCATGACCTAAGCGAGTTACTGGCTGCGTTTGAGCTCTGCGATATTGAGGATGAACATTTGAAAAGTGTACGTGATCGTGCTTTCCAACGTGATATCACACCAGACATAAAGGTTACAGGTTGCAACCGTGGAGATTGTCAACTGCAACAAGAGACTCAGAGGAGAGGGCTTTCTGGTGGAATAAGTGATTATAGAACCGCGAGTGAGGATCTTGGAAAGGTTGGATGTTTTAGATGCACTTCGGAGGGTGAGATTCATTCTCTTCAACTGCGAGTTGAGGTGCTGGAGCGAGAACTTGCCAACTTGGACCTTCGCCATAATCTCCTGCTGACTACTATTCAAAGATCTCAGCTCTTAGCAACTGTCCACGGAAACGTGAGAAATTTATTACCTCGCACTGAAAACGGATCTTCTTACTTTAAAATGCAGAGACGAGCAGAAGATAATGCTTCGAGAGACCAAAATGGTTGTAAAACCGTCAAGAAGGACAATGAAAAGAAGACGGAGACGTTTTAGAGCGAAAAGGTACAATGGAGGAGAAATGCTGATCCGGAGCAGCCGAGAAATGTACACAAAAGATATACCCAGACCCAAGTATTAGCGAGGTGAATGCACGAACATCACATAGTAGCTATCGCACTACTTGCTCGGATCATATAGCAACTCACTCAGTTTCTATTTACCCAAAAGCTCAACCGCATATTTAATGATTTATCAACTATTAAGTATCTATCATCTTTGTGTTGCTAATTGTTCCCTTTCACCGTCATCGATTATGTAATGATCACAGCAGCAATCCTCTTTCTTGAGAGACCAGGAACGCCTTGCATGATACTGCTCAATGGTCGTTGGTCATCACATTCTGGTAAAGCATGGGCATAGCCAGAAAAACATTGTATAACTTGCTTTGGCCAAGAAGGAGTCTTTTGTTTCTTTTTTATCTTCCATTTCCATAAAATAACATTGTGTCATGATGTCGTCCATTATGCGAGGGGCTGCTATTTGTGCTTATTTCCAATACCGTCACCAATATTCTTGATTATAATCTTCTCATCGTGACTGATGTCCAGAAGTGATGACGTAGCAAATTGGTGGAACCAAAAATTTATAGGCACGTGACAGGTCACCTTATGCAAATCCTGTAAGATCAAGCAGATCGTGGAGTGCGAATTCAAAAGTGAGCGAAATCATGTTACTTTATTGCAAAGCCGAAGTGCGACTGCATCGCGACGATAGAAGGTAAGAGGGCATTAAGATATACTCGACTCGAGTAGAGGTGAGCGTGGTTAGTCACGTGGTGTATGCTCTCTCATGTAAATGGGTCTTTATCATAAGTTTATTAACCACGTCCAAGCGGAACATATCTTCTGTAATACCTTTATCAACTGGCACCACCTCACTTAAAATCCCGCCATGCTGGACCCTGAGCGCTGTGTTAAGATGACGCCACACAATACTTTTTGAGAACGATGTTGCGGACATGTGTCTAATTTTACATGCACAATTATTACATTTGTTCACACACTAAACGAGTCCTCCACTTTCATGATTGAGGGTATAAGTGTATAAGTCCTCCAAAGGACAAGCTTGATTGTGGGCTCAGCTTGCGGTTCAGTGTGGGAATTACACGTCCGGAATAGATATAGCAACGTTAGGACGAGAATGACTTAGGAGCATATACGCTTTTCACTTCGGGTTTATCCATCAAAGTAACAGGTTAACATCCGCAACCTAGCCTTTCTTTATCACAACATCCGAGCCACGATGGCAAACAAGCGCACCAAAGTCCTCCTGGATACTGATAACAAATCTACTTCTGGGACTTGTACAGAAAGATGACTCTGGCGAGGAAGGGTCATCTAGGGCGTATCATGGCCGTCAAGAATGATAACGATATCACGGAGACGTGGCTTATGCACGACAAGGCATCGGGTATCATTGCGCAAGACGTTGAGATTTGGTACCAGACCACGATTAGGTAAGCCATGAGGGCCATGGAGGCATGAGGAACCTTGCGCGATTTCTACAACACTGCATAATTGTGTGACGCGACGACTCACGTCTTCAAAATAAAAGTGGTGTAGCATGGCGGAACATCAAGAACTTTTGTAGTTTTAATTGCAGACTTCCATCGAATGGGAGAGCCAACTAATGAGTCGCGCCAACTGGTGTTACTTCTCGGCAATTCGACGTCGGAGTATGATTTGATCGCATCGATTGTAAAATCGCGAAGGACAACACATTGATTTTAGTTATGGGAAGCTGACCAAGGAAATAACTAAGCTGTACAGAAAGACGGCAACTAGCTATTTAAATAGAGATGCCATGAGATCTTGACGTAGACGATTCAGTGGTTTCACATTTTGACCTTCACGCAATGAGGGCGGATGCTTTGGTATGCTCGCATACAAGATAAATTAAACTTTGCCTCGATTATCAAGCACGGAAAAGACGTGATCATAGAAGGGATGATAATACTGACAGCGGCAATGTTCAGGACCAAGTGGAACGAAGCCAATATTAAATGAGATCATGGAAAGTATCGTGGTTCAGTCTCAGATGTCGAATGGACGATGATAAGCGTACACCAAGTGGTAGCTTAATACCTCTAAGCACTCTGTGCAAACGCATTATATATCGTACATCTCTTCAAACGCAACATGATGATCATTCATTTTTCGGCCACAAGTTGAGCAAACAAGACAAAGACATGAGCCGACGCAATACTATGGCTCGGATCAGAGAATGAAGAGAGGAATTAGGTCATGGACGTGTTTTAAAGTGCATCCAAGATGAAGGGGCTTAGCATACCGGGGTTCATTTATGGACATGGTGATTGACCAGTAAAAGGTCAGCCAAAACACTTGATCAAGCGGACTTGCTACATTGACCAAATGATTTAGGGTTAAGGGCAAGTTTGTCTACACTGTTTCAAGTGTGTAGTGTGAAGCACGTAGCCAGTACTTTCGTCCCGAGAAATAACAATGTCAGAACGAAAAAAACAACGGATACAAGAAACTTTTTTTTCCGGTTTTTAACATCAGATCTACAGTTAGGCGTGTACTCTATAGGTAGCATATCACACGAGTACCTGCATTTCGATTTTGCAGTCCGGAGCTCTCCTGGGAAACTTGACAGCTGTGATACCGCGTATGCAACATCCGGTCGAGTATATGTAATTATGAACAGCAAACAGCAAGCAGGAAAATCAAGAATAGATCTGGCTTTGAGCGCACCGCCAAACGATTCTGTTTCGCTGAAGGCGACTAAGTCAACAACGACTTCAATATTCATGTGCACGATTTGTCGACATCTTCGGAGCCTTGTTGACCGAATAGTCATGTCACGGATTTGCTATCGCAAGCGTTAGCGCTATGGATGACCTGGCGTGGCATTCTCCTAGCCCAAAACGGACAACGCCTTGTTCAGCTCCTTCATCTTTAATGTGGTTTTGAGTACTGCCTTGGCCTGACTGATCTTACTACTGCTTTCTTGCCACGACAATCATGTTATTCACATATATCCAACGTTTCGAATAATTTTAGGGATTGCTCGACATAAAAGCACTGATGTCTATCGATATCGTTAACTTTTTTGCAATAGCCACAATGTAATTTCTGTTCCATGCGCTTGCTGCTTGTTTGAAAACGCAAATAGTCTAAATTAATTGACAAACGTATCCCTGGGCATTGTCGACACCCAGCGGGATTTTCACAATTGTTGTTTGCGGCACACTCATATAAAAAACAAAATTGAATTTTAGTTGCTCCATGTGGTAGTTGCAATCGGCACAAACAGCAAGTATTATCCAAATTGATTTCATATTGTCAACCGGGAAAAGTCTTGAAGGCGTCCATTCCATACTTTTGCTCGAATCCCTTTTCGACAAGCAATGCGTCGTATCGCACAACGAACCATTTTGATCTTTCTTCTTGGCGAAGACCCATCGTGATCCTATCGCGCGATTATCTAACCTTCTTAGCTTTGTACCCATGTTTGGTTCTGCTCATGGAGCAAAGACTCAGTTTCGATAGCTTCACGCAATTTCACTGCAACATCACTTGCCACGGCTTGAGCATTTGTAGTCAGCAAGTCCGGATTATCCTCACTTCTCACAAAGTATGCAAGGACATCATTGGTAATAAGTCTGTCTTCGTCAATCCTAGCACGTCTTGGTGGCTGTGGGCCACCACTTCCTTCTGTTGCTTCTTCATCATCTAAGCCAATTCGTAGCATAAGCATGAATTCGTTAATTTGTTCTACTTTTGGCCGAAACATCAAATGATCTTCTGACGCATATGAAGAGAAGGACGATACTCTATCAGCCGCAACAGTTTTAGCAAAACGTTTGAATGCATCAGCTGCCGCATGTTTACATTCAACCTCGTCCATTTTGGCATCTACGACTGCTTCTTCGAGTGATTCTTGAGATTATTCTGCTTTCCACTTGTTATGAGCATAGATATCACCACCGTCTTTTATAGCTTCGATGGTCACTTCATGCTGTAGCACATTCGTGCCGCAAATACCACCAACTTCAAGCTTGTGATTTTAGCCTTGGAATTCTCCAAGTTAAACACTCAAGTACCCTTTTTCGCAAAGCCGAGAGCTGTATATTTGAAGGTCTTGGGTTTGAGGTTTGTTCTACTTGCATCGTCAACATGAGCGTAATTCCTCACCCAAACACACGAAGTTGACCCATTCGGGATTTTATCTCAGAAACCATAACAAATGACATGATGTTGGAATGGGCGGTATTCGTCGAGCGATTAATCAAACAAAATGTTGTGTTCACTACTTTCGCCCACCACTCAGTCGAAACGTTTACGTAGTCAGACACGCTCCACCAACCTTTTTTGCAAAGAGCTATATAAAACGGAATGTTATTGGACGCCGCTCCGACGGCATATGTCTACTATTCTTTTGATCACAAAATTTGTTCTGTTGTCTTCCCAGCTACGTCACTCGTGGTCTCAAGTCGCAACATTTATGTTGACCTTCCGTCAAGGCACTTCGTTTAAGATTTAAGTGATCTGTATGAGCGCGCACTAGAAAGTGTGTCGCCTTTGTCATCGAGTGTGAGGTAAATGTCGTGACTATTTTCTTACTCTCTAAACACCCTGCACACAATGTTACTGTTTCTTGCCGGATCATCGAGATGCCTTTACTTGAGCGTTGTGTCTTGAGCAAAGAATCCATATTCGTGTGACCCATGCGATCATGCCAAAGCACACTACATGGTGTCAGCTCTGGAATACTCCTCGTTATAAGCTTTTTCCTGCTCACAGTCGAGTACGTTTGCTTCACCGATCCTAAGGCCCAATCAGATCGCCTTTTCTTTGCTCAAGATGAAATACGAATAAACCTTACATACGACCCACAAGCTTGCCAACAGACAACAATTACAGCACGGCTGCCGTAGCTCTTTCACGTATAGGAACCTAAGCTAATGTCGGTGACCTTCATTCTATGCTTAAAACCAGTACGAGTGTAGCGGATCGCAATCCGCTTACTACAAGAGTAACCGCAACCTTAACTTAAGGCAAACAAATTCCTCCGTTTAACATGTAAAGTTTATCTTGGTTTTATTAGCGGCAAATCCGCCTATATCTAATTCTTTAAGTTTTCCTTTCTATATAGTTAAACCTATTTAAATGTATCGATATTGTGTACCAATCACGTACTGACTTCTTGTTTAAGTGTAGCCACATTACTGTGTAATTACAACGCCTTGTGTACCCAGCACCCTTGTATGGTCATCCCATCATGTTTGATCCACCCCTTCATATCAGTATACGTTTAACACGGTTACAACAATCTTCTGTCTAGTCCTGAGGTTGATGAATACATCATTATGCGAATACCCTTTCCAAGCTAGTCGATGATTTTGACGAGTAATTTTCGCCATCTGGAATTGTTAACTCGATGCTTATCTTGATGTTTTTGTATTCGAAATATTCCTTCCTTTACAGGATCATATGGGACCTGGTACTATTGCCGATAAGCCACCCTGTTGATCGTCTTTGGCCAGCCAAAACACCACGTCGTCACTTCTGACATGTTTTTCGGCCGGGTAGTTCCGCTTCATATAGCCAACACTGTCACAATAAATCACTTGCCCTTTCATTCGCCGCTGTTGCGTGCAGCTTAACTTTTTCGAATATTGCATTGGCCACGTTTAGATCTCATGGCATCCCTATTTACGTAGTATACTTTTTCGGCTGCCACCCATCTGTACAGCTACTATGAATCCTTGGACGGCTCCTTCATCATTTCAATCGGCGTGATGTCTGTCGCAATTTTACAATCGATGCGATCAAATCATACTATCAGACTGCTGAAAAGTAACGCCAGTTGGCGCGACTCATTAATCGGCTCTCCTATTGGATCGAAGCCTACAATTTGAAACTTTGATATTCCGCCATGCTATGCCACTTATATTTTATAATTTGAGTCGTCGCATCATGTCATGCGATTATGCAGTGTTGTAGAAGTCACGCAAGGTCTCTGATGTCTTCATGGCCCTCGTGGCTTACCTAATCGTGGTCTGGTACCAAATCCCAACGTCTTGCGCAATGATACCGGATGTCTTGTCGTCGTGCATAAGCCACGTCTCCATGATATCGTTATCATTCCTGACGGCCATGATATCATGTACCCTAGAATACCCTTCCTCGCCAGAGTCATCTTTCTGCACAACTCCCAGATGTATTTTTGTTACCAGTATCCAGGAGGACTCTGGCGCGCTTGCTATCGTTGTACGGATGTTGTACTAAAGGAAGGCTTGGCTGCGAGTGTCGACCTGTTATTTTGATGGATAAACCCGAAGTGAAACGTTTATATAAGCCTAAGTCTTTCTCGTCCTAGCGTTGATATATCTCTATGCCAAATTATTCGGGATGTATGGTACTCCACATTGAAAATCAAACACTGCAACTCAAGCCCTAAACACCTAACAATCAAACTTGTTCTTTAGGGTATTTAAAATCCTCAGTCATGAAGTGGAGCTTCCACCTAGGTTCGTTTTGTGTGCGAACAAACGTAATCATCGTACATCTAAAATTAGACATATGTCCGCAACATCGTTCTTTAATCGAACTGAGTGGCGACAACAATTGGTATCTATCACGGTAAATGTGACATTGCGGTGAAGACAGAATCAGATGCTGTTTGTGGCAGCAGTGCCGATGTCAAGCATTCGGTTTCAGAAGTTATAATCATGCGCGCCAGTGGAGTTGAATCGCAATAAGCTCGGCGGAGGCTGAGTATGTGGTTCTCTGCCTTTGCAATCTAGAAATTCTATGGACGCGTGTTGTACTTATGGACATGGGTCGTGAGCAAGTGAAAGGGGCACAAATTTCGGAGAGACCAACATCCAAATACGCCGGACCGAATACTCTTATGACGCACGCGGACATTAGATACCACTTCATCTACGAGAATGAGCAAGAAATAATTTTGAGTATCGCGCTGCCTTCTGTTTACTATGCAATATTCGTTAAGACTTGAAACGTGTCTAGCGCACCCTGCAAAAAAGAACTTTCCATCGCAGCTCAAGAGCCATGGCACTTCCATCGTTCAGCAGCAGGTTGACCAGCGCCAAGTAGATTAGCTGACTAAGGCGCCTAGGGATAAAAACTGTGTTAAAGTGAAGACAAACAAAGCTTTTCAGATTCTCGCTGGTTAGAAAATCGAAGTCCTTGGGGAAAGGTAGCAATTCGACGAGTTTGATGTTTTCGCCGACCGTCATCGATGCGTCGGGTGTCGACAGTTATTTTAATGCTGACCTCATGCTGAAACGCTTTTCCGAGCTTGAAGCGCAGCCGATGTACTGTACGCTCCGAGATGGATATCTGGATGCGGTGGTCACTACATCCACCCAGTGTGTATATTTTCGTTCTACCCAGTGCCCTTCCGAGCTTCATGTACGCGGCTCTGTGCGCGACTAGCTCGTTTTTACTGGATGTCGCCACCCGGCATAGTCAAAGAACACTTCTTTCCAACCCAACGTATGCATTTTAGTCTACGTCCCGTTCATGTCCTCCGCTGAGCTAGATATGTTGTACTACCACCCTTGCTAGGGCCCCAATCCAACACGGCCATCATATGCTGTGTTGGCACGCCGAGGCATACACGTATCTTTGCTTGAGCGATCGATTGGCAAAGCACGACCGACAAGTGTCATTGTACCCTCCGCAGCATCTAATGGCGATCCAGTACCCAGCAAAATCTCTCCTGGTACTACTCGTGTCAACACCGACAGTCCGACAGTTTTCGGCTGTCGTTGCTACGACCGCTAGCACCGGCGTCTTTTTCCACGCTGCTGCTAATTACTGGAGGTAACCGTAAAGAAAAGCGTTCGCTGGAATGAGGATTTTGCCAACATGCTGATTGAACTTCGTCCGAACTTCTTGCTGGATTTTCAACAACAAATTCTACAATTGAACTGTCGAGGTCAAGTATAATTGCTTTTCAGTGACGCTCGATAAGCTTATAGCCTTAAGTTTCCGAGTTGTATTGCAAAATGTATAATCTCATCGCAATATCAAGATAGCCAGTCACTTCCGTCCCAAGCACCACACCATCGTGTTTAAGGCAAAGAAACCGACTCGAATTCAAGAGATAGTCACTGAGTCAAAAAGACGGCCAATCTTAAGTTGTTACTCAATAGCTTGGTCGCTTCCGATGCCTTGGTGATTTGTCTTCAAAGCACTCCGTGCGACGGATCTCTTTAACACGCTGACAGCCATAAGCTCCGTCAAGTCACCCATAGATCTGAACCCGCGCTCTTGCGTCAGATGCAAGCGTTGAACCAAATATTACTAGTTTCGTTCAGCTTTACATGATCAATCGCGTTTGAGTGCGACTGATTCGATCGAAATCAACGCGTTTATTCGCAAATAAGCCGAGTATGTCGTGGCTTAGGTGCCTAAGACACGTGACGTTGTATATTGATGCGCTGAATCAAAGTGAAACAACGTAAATACAGCGACCATTGTGCTTGCGACCAGAATGCTGTCTCTCTTCGAGCTTTTAATAAACACGGCGCTCATGATCTTTGAGATAGAACCAAAGTCTGACAAGTTGGTCAGTCCCCTGCATCTTAGCACAGAACAGAAGTCTGTTCAATAAAATATTTTTTTGGTCTTGTTCCACTCGCAGATCGGCACCCACTGCTAAAAAACTGGAAAGAAGCCCAATAACACGAGATGTGCTTAATGACCTCGAGGTCGTTTAGGATTCGGTCGCTTCATTTTAGAAACTGCAGAAGTGCTGTAACCTCAGCAAGATGAATGATTAATTTGCATTTGTGGCCGGAACACTTGTCCCGGACTACAGAGGTGACATAGCAAGATGTTAGCTTGATGACCATCAAGATCAACGGGGACATGAAAAACGGGCATCTACTTATCGACCACTTACCAGCAAAGTACAGCCTGATTTGCATATAAAGACTAAACTGCAAGACTGTCACCATTTGACAAGTCTTACGATAATAAAGCGTGGTCAAGTCGGTTTTGGCATGGCTGGGGGCTGGTGTAAATGATTGCGCCAGGAATCTGCAAAACCCAAGCCAGTTCATACAGGCACTGCAACCAAAGCAAACAAGAAGACGAAGCTTGGAGTAAATTCAACCTCCAACCTTGCAACAAACATTAGCTATGCGTCAGTGACTCTAGCCTTGTCAATGCTTCAAGACGACACACTAATCTGGCGGTATGATTTCAGTAATTCGTTCTGACCTCCCTGGTTTTGATTCGGCAAAGGGTCTCGAGGATGACTGTATTGTGCGCTTTTTGGTAGCAATTGTTAACGCTCTCGTGTAAATCCACAACGTATACTTGCCGTAGACGCTCGTGACAAAGCCTTCGACCACCGTTCAGTTGATTGCTGCAACACACATCGTCCTCAGTGATTTGACTACACTCCTCACTGTACGGCACCCCATGTGCTTTGAATCTAAGGATGCTGTTTACCATTTGGCACACACAGTGGCCCCGCACTCCATGTCTCAGCCTCTCGGGTACGGCAATTAGTGCTTCCCAGAATACCTTGTTGACTACCCAGACATCCTGGTTACCATCGGAGAGGCAAAGCACAGCAAGTTTTTTAAATCATACTGCTGCATATATGCAGGCATAGTCTAGGAGCAGTGGAAAAGACCCGTGAGATACAGCTCAGAGCACAAAGTCATTTCAGTTAAATCCACGCAGATCCTACTAGACCAAGCAGCAACAAGATACCGCACGAGCGAGAACTGGGCGATGCTGTCCAAACGGACCACCACCAATTGCAGATCCTAACGGCCAATGAGAAGCGCTATACTGAATTGACAAGCGTCTAACATCAGACGATTAAGTCCTGCTAAAAAACCTCCACTTCTAGACTTGAATCCACTGACGCACTCAAGCACATGAAAGCTAATTCCGCGCCCGGCTATGGATGTATCACAGCTGGCATCTACTAGGACGCGGCTGATGACTTCAGAAATCGTCTGAGTTCAGCTTTCAAGTCGCGAATATCTTTTCTCTATCGAGCGCATGTCAGTTCGGTGCATATTACACAAGAAAGGCTCGCAAGATGATCATGGCAATCTAAGACCATTCTTGCTCACTGGTGTTGATGTAAAGGCCTTGTCTAAGGTACTTCATTACCGCCTTCAGATCTATCTATCTCACCTTATGCACAACGATCAGAAGGCTTGAAAGGTCGGTCTTTACATCATCACGTACGCTTCATGACTGATCTGCAGGACATCAGAGAGAAAGCTTACATATTATTTCTCGACTTTGAGAGAGCATACGACCAGTTCAGCTGGGCCTTAATCTATCAGGTGCTCGACCACTTGGACTGTGTTGTTGCGTTTACTGATGAGATGATGTTCCCTTGACCCACCCACACTAACTCCTCTCCCTTAACGGTAACATTTAATCGCCAAATTTTCCCACATAAATAGTTATAAAAGGCGACCAGCTTTCAGCGGTACTATCCATCATGCCATCGAGCGGCTGGCAAATTTATATTGGTAACGAGTGAAGCACGATGTTGGCACTCACCGAAGATCATATCACAGCAGCGTCTTCTTTTCCGACGATTCAACACTGCTCTCCAGCTTGATGGTCGATATCCAGGCACAGCTTGACCGGGTTCATCTGTACTATGGTCGCTCTTGGACCGAGTTAAAGCTTACCAAGTTGTGTTTTTACCCTTATATCGACGAACTTACCCGTACAGCATCACCAGCGTCAAGACGCTTTGGCGTGGTTTAACCTTCTGGGCATCCTAGTTGGTCAAATTCCAGTTGAAGACGCTATCGCGGAATTGTTAGTCCGGCAATACGAGAGATTCCTTTAAGATTCCGTCGCGCTCGCACTCTGAGAAGGCGTCTGTTGAATGCGCTGACCATGATGCTCTCTCGGTTGTGGCACCTCATGGTGCACGTGCCAGTTTCATATCTTGTCGCTATTCAATGGCTGTCTACAAGTAACCCTTTGTGCTCGCACATTGCATCGAGCGCGACGCAAACTTTTTCGTCAATCTTCAAGGAATTTATTATTAATATCGCTTCAATAGTGGTCTCTCTGTATCCATTATCGAAGCCTCGCTTGAACGTCAAAAGCTCAACGTCTTACTCCGATTATCACTTTGTCGACCTTGACTTAACGTAATTGGATCACGTCAGAAATTACGCACCATTTACACTTATGCTACCCATGTGGTTCCTGGACTTTCTCACTTAAACTCCATGCGCCAGAGTGCTCTGCTTTGATGGGACGTACTGCCCCATCGGCGGCGACAGGTGCTGTCAATTGGCGAGACCTCACCCCTCTCGCCCGTTTTGACTATGTGCTGAACCAGCCAATCTGGTTCCATGCCAAAGCCGATGTTCAGTCTGAACTGGCTCCTCGAGTTGACAAATGTGGCGTTGTCTATGCATGGTTGTTGATCTTCAACAGAGCTTTCTCCAACAAATTACAACGAATTTCAAGTCTCACTGACTTCCTTGATGCTAAGGGCTGATAGCAAGATGCCGATGCATTTGCAACCAGCCATATTGACTGCGGACTCGTGTCGGTTTCGGTGTACCAGTAGAATCGGTGGCTTCGCCGCCTACACCACGAAGCAAAATAAAGGTTTAGGCAATTACGAGAAATTTGCGACAACGGACTAGGTTTAGCTTGTGTGTGCCGCACGGCAATATACCTCGGTGAGCGTAAGGGCGAACACATATGTGTTGTCCCCTGAATATCCCGGTCTCAACCCCCACTTGCTTGCGTGGAAGGCTTCAGCATTCACCAAACCCCTTCTAATCCAGCTGCGCGACAGGCTAGCCACAGTTACCGACAGTGTTCGTGAGCCAGTCTAGGCGTTGTACGTCGAGAACACAAATCCTTGCACTTTCGATCCATCTTACGTCTGCTGTCAACACACTCACGCTTCTCATTCGTGCGCACTGAACACCCCGACATCATCAACTGCGTGCGCAGCGAGAGCAACATAGTAGAGACTGGGCGGCAAATGACCTTCAAATGCGCCTTGGTATCAGGGCTGTAGCCTGTCTTGTCTCGCGACTGGAATACGTTCTTCGTATATAAGCCAAAGTGGCTCGATATTACTCTTGGTCCCCGACCATCCATCAAACATGTTTAACTGGTCCATGCCGCTGTGGCAGATGATCTATGGCAGATTACACACCATTTACTGTGGTTAGTGCGCAATGATGTTCTGTTCCGTTAACGCACACGTCTGCCTCAAGTACCTGCGCTTCAGGTCATGTATTGCGTACATTCGTGTGTGCATACACAGGGTGTACGAAAGAGAACAGCAAACATCTATGCAGGTCTCTGAGGGTTTTCTGACTCGATTTCGACGGTCACACTCTTTAGGAGCATTTATGCGAGCCAGCACTACAATTTTTGCTGTGCGTCTTCTTGAGTAGTCCCCGATCCGAAGATATCTGTGCTTCCAGCATATTTGCACACATACTAGGTAAATTTCTGATCTCAAACGAATGCTTTTGTGTCTAAAAAACAAGCCCGCAGTAGTTTTATAAATATTAAGTGTGTATCATGTTACATGGATGCTGTAGTGTGTCGACATATCAAGTTTGAGAAGTGGTCAAATCGTGCAAATGGATAGACTTATATTGAGGATAAATTTGAAAAGTGATCTCGCCCCTCCAGCCGATTCGCCACCAATACACCAAGTCAATACCCCCGACGCTGGGATACCCCGAGGATTTCTTAGCTACGATAATTGGGCCAAAACTTTGACAAGATAGTTGTCGTCAGAACCTCAAAGAATGACAGACGCCTGGGCCCGGTAATTGGTTGAGAAAGCGAGAATGAGGCTCCCAGAGTTGGAGTTAGCGCGTCTAAGGAGAGTGTCCTTGCCGTTGTATCGCATTTAGTGCCTGAAAGGGTGTCTGGCGTTTTAACTTCGAATTATGTTGAGGAGGACGTGGTCGGCGCTTCTTTGGACGACGCACAGTCGTGGGATCAGGAAGCGGCAGCTACATCCAGGTCGGTTATACCGAACCGAATTTATGGCTTTGATACTCGACATGGACCATCTGCAATCAAGGTTCTCCAGCACATATGCATCTGAAGCCAATACTTAGCTATGTAATTCGACTAATCGTTCAGGCATAGAGAAGTAAGTCGTATCGACTACTTGAACTCGAAACATCCATCTGCGCCAGGAGAGGACATGCATTTCTGTGCCGTCGAGAAATCAAACCCCGACTTTGTCCTTGGAAAGAATGAAGCCTAAACGTTCGACTAACGTTGCATATGGAACAATAGATAAAAAAAATAGTGCCTGATGTGGTGAAGGTTGATGGCTCCACTTTCATAATTAGGGGTTCAAATCCCATAGAGTACCAAGCGGAGTTAATAACATGGTATTTAGGGCTCATCAAGCCTGTTGTTACGCTTTTGTTCGTTTATGAGGGCAGATCGTTTATCATTACGCCAGACTAATCTGGTATAGTTGTGGCAATGTTAGAACGAGAAATACACAGGAGCATAATAAATATTTACTTCGGATATCACCGTACAATTGTGTCAAAAAACAATTTTGTTCTTCTATTGTGCAAAATTCACAGGGCACGTATTGCCCTCAATATTATTTAAGAACGATATTGCAAAAGTTTTGTAGAAAACGAATTTGAATTATTAGCTTAATATGTGGTTTTGCCTTCATGATTAATTTTAGAACGTCCTTTTTGGGAGTCGTGTAAGCCATGTCAAGCGCGTGCTGTAGGGTTTTGTTTCGCGTTCATGACCCTCAAAAGACAATGTTTGATTACGAAGATCGTACATCATTTACGGATGTCATTTGGTACAGATGTGGCAACGAGAAATACATAGGAGCATGATTAACTTGCTTGCTTCGGGTTTTACGATCAAATTAACAGTCATCAATGGGAAACGCATAGATGGTCTCGTTCGCCCATTGTTTACTGCACGCAACTAAGTTAAAATATAGACGACGCGTTCAAGAAATATAATCATTCATCCGCTACAGTTAATGGCTCAAACTCTTGTATACAAGCAGCATATCGATGAGGTAGAAAATGACGAGCTCGGAATCGATGACAAAAACGTTTCTAAGGAGATTACTCATCTTCAGTCCGTAAGATGCTCTGAAAGCTGAATCAGAAGTAAAGCTAAAAGGTAGATCGATTTCAGTAATGATAAATTCTCAATCATTAAACAACTTAAATCGCTGAGTGTGGATATGAATGACTAATGATAAAAAGTTCAAGGAAATTACCACGCGACTATTATAAAAGCATGTTCATCCCCAGCTCAGCTGGTAGCTATGGAGACAACGCTGATTTCAACGTGGTCGAGTTAAACAAAATCATGAAAAATATTATCATTGATGACCACCCATACAAGACTCATGCAGCTGTTTGGGCTACTGGCCTTGATAAGTCCGTAAGGAAGGTTGATCATCGACTCAGACAGAAAGAGGAAGAGTATGGGCGTACACAAGTAAGAAATAAATTAGAATTGTGGTGTCCGTTGCTGTTTAACTTTAATTTCTTAAAGAAAGATCTCTTCTCTTCCTGGTATCCCTTCCAAATCTCTATTTTCTCTGACTCACTGAATAGCTGACTCTCCTTTATCATTTTTCGTAGGTAGGAAAGCGCTATTTCCCAGAACTACAATTAGATCGACGATTTGACCTCGTTTAATCAGTTTTTAGCTCTGTAGCTTGTTGTGCACCCCATGCTTATTATAAATCTGGTATCTACATCACCAAAAAAAGTTAAGAACCAAGAAGCGGTGTATGGTTCGAATTATCTATAGGTTCATGTCTCCAACACAATCGCTGTTTTTGCTCAATATTGCTAAGGCCGTATTCAGAGAATGCTCTCTCTCAGTGGCGTGATGTCTCAGTATACCATCAAAAGATACAACTCAACGATTACTAAACACAGCATCATATTTCTTGTTTTTTATCTGAAATACAAAATGTGAATGACATGGTCTATATCAGAGACAAACCTTTGCGTTCAATTCTTCAAGAGCTATTAAATCATTATATGCAATAATTTGACTGTAATCAACGTTGTATTGTGGCAGGTTCGTCTTCGCCTTTCTGAATAACATCGGGATAGAAAAATAAATAAACTGATTAGGTGGGCTGAGACAAGGTCTTGCTTGAGCTATGAGGTCCACCTCTTGAGGTCTATTTTTCGATCGATCCAGTCTTACAAAACTACATCACAATAATCGTGGAGTCGCTTGATACGTTCGAGTGGACACGATTGATTGTTCCTCTTCAATTTGCAGTCGCTCATCATCGCCACGACTGGACAGGCAATGTATCCTACGAATATACCCGCTACTGAATATGTGATCGGGTCAGGAGCGAACTCTGCAGCTCCGTTATCTGTTCTGAGGCGATTTACTGTCGTTCCGCCTGCTCCTGTCAGAGACGTGCAGCGGAGGTGAAGGACTTGTAGTACCAAGACCAAGACGACTTGTGGTACTTAAATTATCGACGTCGAGATATTGACCCCGATTCTGATATCGTTGATTGATATTCCCGATCCATGACACGTTTACTGGGATTGCCATTATAGACTTGGATCTGACATTGAACAGGAGTCGTATTTGACCCAGTTAGAGTCATCATAGGAGCCAGCAAGAAAGTTCAATGCACTACCAGTGATCGAGAAATACTCATTTGTTGCAGATGAGTTGATGCCAACTTACTGTTGTTATTGCTGATTTGTTTCCAAATGTAAAAAGCCCGATGAATTCGCCGGAGCAGCTGATATTTCCACTCGTTGACAGATTATAAAGCAAGAGGGGAGTCGGAATAAATGTTGAATCTTGATACATCATAATACAAGTTCGTGGAGAGGCTCTCCCACGACTGAGAGCTTTCACGGCTATCCACGGAGAGCAGTTCAAGCAGTTAATATCATTCTTTATCGATGAAGGTGCTATAATTGCAATAATTAACTACCAAGAAAATGTCAAGATGATCATACCTGAATGATGTTATATCAATATCTTAGAATGCAAATGCTTTTCAGACGAAGAAACAATTACATCAACATGAAAAAAGTCCAAAAGGTTACTACAAGAGAACCGCTTGAAAACGTTCGAGCTGTAGCTTCTTTTGATATCGCATCAGATGACTCGATCACCGGAGAAATTAAGCTTTCCTTAGAAATTGCTTTTGGCTCAAGATCCGAAGCTGCAACATCTATTGATGCTGATGTGGAGCCCTGTGAAGCTTCTGTAGGTGATACGACCACGACCATAATGCCACTACCGGAACCTTGAAGCTCAAGCACACTTGGCTTCGCGATAATCAGATCTTGACTAAATACTCCATTGATTGTCGAGCGAAATTGAATTTCTTTATCCGACGTCAAGCGGTACAATCCGCTAGTAGTAATCGAAAATAAGTTACTGGCGTATTCAGCGTACAGCTTCGACCCGGAATCGCAGGGAAGATGTGCATCTTGAGCTAGATTTACATCGCGGCGCCAACGCACCAATTCAACAAATCGATCGGTGAATGGATTCACATTACTAGCATTGGGGTAAATATCCATATTGACCCCAATTTTGAGCAAAGTCTCCACAGCTGCACGAACGGATAAATTTGATATTACACATTCTGGAATTCCGCAAAGTAAAACTGACATGAAGATTGCGCGGCATGCGAGCGAGCTAGACATGCCTTTTATTTGCTGGGGTGTCGGAAGAATGCCTGTATATGGAAAGATTGTGTACTGTCCGTCAGACACACAGGTCTGAAATACCAATCTGTTTTTCGCGTATAGCTCGTAAATCTGCGTGACCACCGTGGCGTTGCAGTTTTTGTTGGCCACAAGGGTAAATGTAGTAGATTGTGGTGATGCTGACGCAATCGGAGCTAGCTTGAAAATAGCATTATTGGAAACTTGAGACCTTGTTCTGGACACAAGAAGTATCGCGAGGACTAACTGCAACAATAAATTACTCATATTGTCGATATATTCTTCGTGAAAGAAGACCACGTCTTGATCTCAGTTAAAAGCGTGACTGGCATTGCTGAAGAGTTGATGGTCATCATAAGCTCATCACCATAGCTTTTAGTAATAAGTACGAAACAGCAGAAAGTTATTCTATTCCGTGTGCATGTCTGAATTTGTAACATCCATCATTACTAATCCATGGTTTGATCAAAACTATTGTTTGCAATGACGTCGTCTCAGTACCTTCTACTCTATCAACAGCCAATCAACGCAGAAACTTCATTTTTCTTGTCCTCGACGTACAAGCTTAGCGTTGCCGGTATATTGAGATTGGCTGCGACGACTTCAAGCATCTTTTGAAAATATATTTCACGTACATCTTATACCGGATCCGGTAGCAAGAAATACTATACAAAGACAACACAGCATACTAAAGTATTTCCACAAGCGTTTTACAAGAATCCATCTGCATTTTATGAGCATATATGTCGTTGCAGTTCGATCGCTAATTGTATTTCTGCTATTCCATCATTTTTAGTGGTGAATCAGTCAAATCAGCAACCACTATTTTGAGCGATGCTCGGTCTATTATTGAGATTGTCAAATACATTTGTCTGGTTTTGCTCGTAGTGATGTCAGCCATGCCTTCACCAACAAATGTTAACTGTTCAAACGAGCCAGTGCTGCGGCTTCATCCTTGCAAGGCGCCACCGTTGCATATGAAGCACAATACTCGTCAGTCAGTAGTACCGTCAGTTTACTTGAATGCATCCAATTTGAAACGAACAAGAATGTCACCACGTCACGTAAAACTCCAACGGATGATACCAACGTTGCCATACACAATTGCTAATCCATTGCGAGATCAAGTATCGACAAATTTCCGTCATGAGCTTTTTTATTTTCATCAACTCTTACAAGATGCTATCAAGACCGAGAACATCGATTCACAGCGATCTGTCAATCATTTGAAGAACAGTCGTATTCTGGACCTTTTGACAAGTGATCGTGGTGATGCGATTCTCAACGAATTTTTTATTAGGTGTCAGCGAGCGGGAAAAGATGATGGTTTTGTTGTTAGGAACACAGAGGATGACGGAGCTATTCTCTGGGATGTGTTCGAGACATTATTTTCACACGTTCCGCTCATTATTTCAGAAGTCGAATTTGGAGTCGCGAGTAGTCCAAAAGCGTTTTGTCGCTATACCGACTCGCTTAACTCCTTGCGAGACCTACTACTTGTACTACTCTTTAAGCGTCCTTTAGAAGATAAAAATGACTTGATTGATGGCGATAGCGATAACGACAGCACCTGTGGATTGCAGTCGAGTTTTGGATTGGGTTTTGGGCTTGATTTTCATGATAGAACGCTTAATTTAACGCCACGGAATCCTAAACAATCTCTAACTTCATCTAATTCTAAGCGAAGTATTCCAATGTACATTTATTGTCAGCAGCTAGAAAGAGAACTTGAAACCTTGCGAAGACAAAATGTACAAAGTTTAGATCATGATTTGGGTGATGTTGGACTTATGGACGACACAACGGTGACGCTGCTGCTTGGCTTTTATGCGCTTCCTCACAAAGAACGCTTGGCAATGTTTTGTCAGATTGCAAGCCAAGCAAATGAGCAAGACGCGATTGCTATCCTACATATGTTTCTTGACAATTGTACTTCGTCAAATCTGCTTCAAATTTGGGAAAATCTCAGACAGTCACCGGACATTATGAGAAGGTTTCGCGAATCGAAATGCCAGACCGACCCAGAAAATCTCGAAGCGATGGATATTTCGACGATGAACACAGAGAGAAAAGGTGTAGCATCAGAGTATAAGTCTATTAATGAGGGCAAATTCACTTTCGATTGGAAATTACAAGGCGAAGAGAATAAGCTTGGGCGACCGCCTTCTTCATCTGAAGATGTCAGTGACATCACTGAAGTCTCTGACTTCGAAATACATGGCGGCGATGACTTGAAGGCCAGATCTGACCAAGATTTGAAAGGTATACGCGAACGAGATCGGCTTTCGATGTCGAGCGCAAGTGATCTTCCCTTGGAAACCCAAAGCAAAAAACGCAGTTCATTCTATCAAACTGATCAGCAACAAAGATCAAGTAAAGCATCCATTAATAGAGAAGACATTCCACTGCTTGAAGTTCTTCACCATGATCTCACTGAGGTTACCAACATGAAGGTTAAACCTGATGAGCATGTCATGAGAGCAGTTCAGCAATTACTCGAGAGACTTGACGGTAAAGGAACCCACGATTCCAATGATGAGGACCATCTTCGTCTCGTGCCAGCATCTGTGCAATCACAACACATTTTGCAGCAGACCACCATCAAATCACCACGAGCATCGATGAGCACGGCTTTGTCAAATGAACAGCAGTTTTTATTGATGCTTGACCAGCTGAAATCGCTCCTTCTCGTGCTAACTGATGTACATATTCACAAAATGAGCACTGAAACCATTACTGGAGCTTATCGACGCATGCAAGTGCTGTCAAAATTGTTTGCAGTACTTATGGACAAAAGTTTTGGTGCTGCTGGTGCCGAGCCTATAAGCGGTTCGACTGTGAATGATTTTGAAAAGGCACAAATTGTCACTGGCTCACCACATGTAGTGAATTCAGTGACTTCAGATTCGCAATTTGTTACATCAAATGAAACGATGCGTGAAGATGTGGAAGCCATGAGTCAACTACTTGTCAAGCTTAGCAAATTTGTGCGCAGTTTGGCTCCATTGGTAGACAACAAAGAATTGGCACCGAGTAGTGTAAGCTCAAGCGATGATGTTTTAATGATCATGGATCTTGCCACAAAACTTGAACAAGCAGGCACCCTCGTAGATGTGCCTGTCATTTTGAATGGAAGCGGTGGAGGAATACGTCGGCTTTCACTTGCAGCAGACCGCGAATTACCGGTGCTTTTAGCAGTTCAATCGCTTGCACGCTCAAGCAATTTTGATCTTGTATCTCAAAAAATTACCTCAGCTGTGGACGACAAACTTAAATGTGCGCGACTTGCCGTAACAAAAGATGATGACGAGGAAGAAGACGAGTTTGTGGGGATGGAAGGGGATGAAGTGATGATGAGGATCGTATCGAATGTGCAGTGCACGACCAAAGAGACGCGAACGCAAGAGTGCCAAGACCAGATATATATACAAAGTGAAGCGAGCTTTAGCGAGAGTGACGATGCGATCGCTCAAGCTCTTCGGATCAATAAAGGTGATCTTTCGAGCAATAACAAGAATGGTGCGTCGTTGCGTGGTGGCAAACTCTTTAGCGTCGATATTCTCCTACGTTTCGTCAACCAGGTAAGCCGAGTATTTTGCCGAATTCAGAAGAAAAAAATCTAATCTTGCGAAGTACAGCTATATCGTGATAATTATGAAGGCATGGCATCGATGCAGCAATATGGACATCGACGGATGGAGTTTGGCGAGTTTGTTTATTATTGGCACATTCGAAAATACGGCCTTAAGGCACTTGCTCAGCGCCATCTCTTAAAGCTCATTCAGTCGCTACGAAAACACGAGAAAAAGGTTTTCCAGTGTCAATTGTACGTTGTCATTGCTGATTTGCAGATTGCAACGCTTTGCCTCATGTTTAAGTGTTTTCTTTTGTGTTTAGATGCTTACGCTTTTTGGGTGCTCAAATATCCTTTTCATATTCTATTGTACATTTGAATCGATTTCCTGTTACGATATGCCGTGATTCTTTCCTTAATGACCTTGACCTGCTTTGATATTGATTTTGTCGCAATCGTTCACACGATTTTTTAGGTTTTCACGAGCTCAAATTTGTTTTAGTAAGTAATGTCGATCTTTATGTTGTGAGAACGCGACGACGTCGCTATACTTATTCATCAACGCATCTGGCAATTACAGGGATTACTCAGTCGTTGGTCACTTGGAACGTTTTCCGGTACTTCCAAACATCGCGTAGAGTTATCAAAGCGTCAATTCAAGATTCGCATCTCATCTGCGATATTAAGTGTTCAAGAAGCACTTCGTGAACGGTTTGGAATATATTCTCGTAGATTGGATGCTCTCGCAGAACGCATTCGAGCCAAGGCATGTTCGGACGACGGTGAGTTCATTCGTGAAAGTGACTTGCTCACACTTTGTATTGAAGAATTTGAGTCTCAACGAGCTTTAATCGAGAAGGTGCTTGGTGCTGTGTATCAAGCCGGGGATGTTAATGGCGATGGAAGTCTCGAGTTCGATGAGTTTGCTTCAGTGGTGACTCATTTGTCTCCTACAGTGGATGATCGATTTATACAGAAAATTTTTGAGGCAGCACACGACGTCACAAAACCGCCTCGGATCTCTTTCACACGATTTCTTGATGTTGTTTTATTGGAGAGAGTGCTTTGTCCAACTTCTTCCAGTGCTGCATCTACCGGAATAGTCCGGGCCAAGAATGCCACTGTAGCAGCTGGTGCCTCTGCTTCTAGTGCCTCTTTGGTAGCCAGTTCGAGTGCTTTAGGTAGCTATAGGACAGTACATCAAGATGAACAAGAGGAGGCGTACCAGCTTGAACTACTATGTGAAACATGGACACACGATCGTGAGGCTGTCACCCAAGTCCTTCAATCTAGTATCACCCACTTACCGACAGCAAAGTCGTTAAGCTTCCGTGTTGCGTTTTTGGATCAATTACTGGATCGTCGCGTAGATGCAAAGACAGCATGGCTATGTCATCGACAGATTATGCGTGAGATCGCTCGCTATCAACATTTAGATGTCGATCAAATAGCAGGATTGCGTCAGAAGGACCAGCAATTTAAAAAAGCAGTACGCGCCATTCAGAATGCTCAACGAATAAGTGCACTGTTTTCACATAACTCTACACCCGTTGGAGATGAAAGTGACGTGGAAGGAGGTGATACGAACTTAAGCTACTCAGCGGCAGTCCAATTATCGTTGGATACGCAAGAAATGAGAACACCCGACAATGCAGACGTGATAGCTCTAGAGAACGAATTACGTGATACATTTCTCGAAAGAGCCGATGAAGGAACGATTGACGACTATATGGCGGCTTTGCAACGATTGCGTCTTGTGTCCGTTAATCAAGAGTTGGAGTCACAGTCAAATGAAGAGATTGTACAGATAAATCAAAGCATCTTACTTGATCGTCATGAAAACAGCTATTCTTTAACTGACGAGTATGAAAGATTCGACAAGGACAGATAATAAAAAGACTTTCTAGAAATTGAAATCACTTTACTTAACTGCATTATTATCAATGATGTTAAAGGTACTTAAGGTTATGCGAAGGAAGGGGAGCGGATCTTGCTCGCGGCACGACTAAGCACGGGTACGTCCGTTCGAGCGAAATTGGCCATGCGACACATGTAATCACCTTCAAACGTAGCCTGCGTGTGTCCGCCCTTCCGCTTGTATAGCAGATCGTCATCAATCTTGACTGAATCCTCGGCAAACATGTTGTCGCCCTTGGCGGATTCGAGCGCGTTACGGTCTGTATACACACTTACCGAGTACTTTGCCGGACGAAAGCAACGCAGCACATTCTTGAGTAATGACGCATATGAACGGAGACGGGCATTGGTCTCAAAGCTCACGTAGCTGCAGTGGCTCTCGGGGGTGATGTGGATTGTGTAGTAAGCATCGAACAAAATGCCGTTCATCGAGTATCCACATGGATCGAAAGCAAAGTCATCAATCAAAGCACCAGGCACTAGGTCACGGATACCGCTCTCAATCGTCATGCGACGGGAGGTAATCGTACTGTCATCATTCTTAAAGAACTGCTTGGCGACGCTTGGGTCCATGTCTTGCATTAACACTTGTAAAGTGCTCTCATTGGCACCAACTTCTTTATGAGGAAGATTTACCGGCAGTAGATCAGTATGTTCATGGATATCGGCGTCCCAAGCATAAATGTACCAATGGTCGTGGTTCAACGGACCTAAAACATGAGCCGACCCATTTGGAAAATACGAGCTCAGAAATGCCACCTCTGTCTGGAAACTGGTGTGGGGATACTTCTGCTCCTCCGGAAAAGTATAATTTTTGCGTGAGTAACTCACCCACTCAATCTCAAGACCAAGACGATTCGAAAAAGTCTTGATAAACGGAAGACACTTAAGCAACGTAGTAGTACCGCATGTTTTAAGCACAATTTTGTGAGCATAAATGAACATAGAGCTCTCAGAAAGCACGTAGGCATCAATGTGGTCATTGCTCGTGCGGGATAGAATCTGGCATTGTCCAGCTTCTAGCATTTCATCGAGATCGTGGCGTGGCACCTCACGTAGGCCATGGGCGTGTCCGATGCCAAACTTAAAGTCAATTTCAAGGTTCTTTTCAGGGCCTTCAAACGTATTTGGCACGGCATCTGATGTCTCGGATTGCGTCGAGCTCGTCTCGTCGTCGTGAAGCTTGATGGGTTCTGGAAACGAATGCACCATTCGAAAATTGGAGACCTCTTTTCAAATTTGGTAGTAAAATTGGTTAGGCAGGTTCGTCACACGCGCCAATGTAGAAAAAGCCCGTGAAGATGGTCGTGGGGTCAACAATATCGTCGTTGCTGATAAAAAGCGGGTCAATCAGCTGCATGAACAATGTGACGACCAAGGAGAGGAGAGAAGAAAAAGGGCGAGCGAAAAGCTTTCTTTCTTTCTTTCCAGGTATCACTCGAGTCCACGGGGTAGTTCAAACGAATGAAAAGTAGGTGAAAGCAGAAGAAATGAAGGTCAGGGGGCAACTTTCGGAATGAGTGGCGCGTGGATGCGGATCCGACATGTGGTACATGTGTGCCAAAGTGATGTGAATCCGAGGTTTTAAAGCAGATGATAAGGTTTTATGAAAATTGATTATTACAATATAGTAAGAGACAGCGCAGTCCATCGAGAAATTAGTATATCGATTAATTCATGAAATGCTATTAACAAGGCCAACAATCTTTATATTTCGTCGAATTTTGTCAAAATGCCATGACCAAATTGCATTTCATCTGGTATTCTACTCAGTGAGTGTTGTCGTGCTTTCTGCTACTGGAATACAGTGCAGAATATCAATGTCCTCGTCATTGTTTTGTTCGTCAGTAAAGAAATGAGGATGTTCGCATAGCACTGGGGAAGATACCTTCACCGTGTAACTGCACGTCTGGGTCTCCTTTACTGCTAAAATGTGATTACTCGCACCACCCTGACTGCAGTAATAAAACACTTTTGCTTTTCGAGGGGCACGACTTTCACCCTCTTTACAAAATGTGCCGTGATCGTACAACTCCAAGTACGCAGGGCGTGACACATCATGAGTCGCGTCAATATGCTCTGAAACCAATGCAGAGCCTAAGCGCTCTAAGTCTTGATTACCTGCATGATCAAATGTACCGAGTGAATACTCAGCTGTGATTGGACCATCTCCGTCCCTGTGATATTGTTTCACCGACCGTCCAAAGCAAAACTCATAAGTCCACCAGCCTTCGTTTCTCGTCACACACGTACGAGCTTCTTCTAATGGCTGCAATAACGACCGCACTGTAAATACGTCGTTTTCGTCTACGTCAGCGTGTTGCGGATTGCAAAACATCCTCGAGCCGATCAAAAATGCAGCAATTTCGCGACTTCTTCCCTCCTCTGTACCTTTCCTCCACTGCACAGCCGAGATATTATCGTCCAACAGCAAAGCGCTGCAAATGAACTGCACCTGAATCTGCTGGTTATTGCCAAACGTCTGCGTGAACAGTGGTTTGTTTAGATGAAGCAATCGTTCTTGCATTCCTGGCAAAGCAAAGTGGTCGTAACTTAGCGCCACAAGACTTGAGTCTTCCACAAATTCACCAAGTTCCTCCGCTTCTACTTCAATAGCTTCCTCTTTATCTTCGTCAAATGATATATCACTTGCCGCATCCACTTCGACCTCCACAGGTGGTAAATATACATCCAGTAGACTTGTAGACTTTGAATGACTCACGCGGCGAATTAGGACGCCAGGACAAACTTCATAGACCCAGTAGGTCTGTGTGTCCACATATTTGACACACTTAGGCTTAATCTTATTAGCCGCGGCCCGACCAAAGCTCATGAAGGCGGCAATTTGTTCTTTCTCTTCCTTCTTCTTGGCAATCAATGAATCTGACACAGTAGTTTCTGCGACATCTCCATTTTTACCGCCAGAAGCTAAAGACGGTAGAAGGCACTCAAATTGTTGACCCGATTCCGTCGTCATGTGCTGCGTTCGCATCTTTGCTCCATCTTCAGGTAAGCTAAAGCTCTCGCGAGTAGCATGCAGCTGAATGACAAATGAATTGTCAAGAGAAAATACAAGCGGCGCATTAAAGGCTAGAAGAGCCAAGCTCAGAGCAGCATTCGCTAGTGGGAACCGCCCCATCATTCGTCAGCTATTTCGCAGATCTGATACTTTTTTAGAATTAATGTTTTTAATCATATTAGACGGGGATGCTACACCGCATAATGAAAGAAGTCATCTATATTATACAAATTTTATTTCAGCATTTTGTAAAGTATTTGGACTTGGTAGTGGTTTAGTCCTTGGACACAGGTAGCGTTACGAGACGCCTGCAATGCTCTTGTTGTGAACGATAGAAAAAACACACCCCAATTTATGTGATTATATATGTCTCATGTCAATTATGACAGCTGGGGTGCCAAGGCAACACGACTGAACTTTGCAGATTTTGCCTCGCCATTCGATGATCAGAGATTCTTCTCAAGTGCAACTAGAAGCCGTTTGTTTTAAATCTACACATGTCAACAAGACCATCTTGTACACTTTTGATTGGATTTTGACGTAACATTTAGGGTCCAATGTGCGCTTTTCAAGTTCTAGTATGCAGTAGCTTGTAATTACGTATTTAAAACCATGAGAGACAACGCCTATATGCATTTTTGCTGCAAGCAGAAGAATTATTTGCGAGAGCAAAAGCTAAATCATCGCACTAACTACAGACACATCACCCAAACATGGTTTTGTTTGGGTAAAAATTCTATCGGATTTTTGATTGTTCTTATGCATTTTTGATAAATTGGGTTGGAGGCTTGCTAGAAGATTGGCTTGCGTTGTGTGCAATGAAACATGTAAGTTTGGTCGCTACCAAACTGTTGGCAAAAGCTTTTAAATCAGAAGTCTGCTCAAGCGTGGGTTACGTGCCACTCCACGTTTAGCCCGCGACTCCTGTCATATACACCTTCGGTATTCGACAACTCGAATACCTTGTCAGCAGCTGCGATGTCAGGTCGCATATTGGTCGCAGTACTTACATATGTGCTTGGCTTGTTAGAACCACCTAGACACATCATTTTGACGCGGCGACGACGGCAAATGCATCCAGACGTTTGTCGCATCGTTGGCAGCTGCAATATAATGTCTCATATATCTAAGTACATGCAAATGTGCTTGTTGGATTTTGACTTCGATCTCCAGCACGTTGACCTTCCCAGTCCAGTGCCCGCGCCAATAGCGCTTCTACCTTCTAGGGGAGGTGAATTCATGACTCACCAAAGCTCCACCAGGAGACGTGTAACGGGGTTACAGATACCCTGGTAACAGGGGGGTGTCACACCAGATGGGCACGGTGTGACCACACCCAAACAAGAATACGGTACGGGGCTGGATAGCCAGTAGTTATACATGTATTTAGAATTTACTATACATATTTAGACCAATCTATGCCTTTTAAAATTTGGCGGCTTTGCCGCAGATAAAAATAAAATGTATGCTTTTGAATTTAAACGGAAGAGTTAGTTATCCTTGGGTTAAGGTTGTAATTACTCTTGGTGTAAGCGGATCGCGATCCGCTAAACTCGTACTTGTTCTAAGTATAGAACGAAAGGTCGGTGACCTAACTTACGCTCCCTCAAGCGCGAAGCTACGGCAGCCCCGCTGCAAGACGTGCGCGTAGCGCTCAAGGTCTTCGATCTCCAGCTCGATCAATGGCTCATGGTGTTCCAGCCATGCCATACCAATGATGAGTTCATACATTGAATCCAAGTCTAAGACTAAGCAGCGCTCAGGATCAGTCGAAGCTACTCAGACGTAGATTGACTAATAGTGCTACCAAGTGCAGCGGGTCTGTTCCTTCGAGGAAGCTACGGTAAGCGAGCATACGTTTTATACTGGAGCCGGTATGAGTGTAGCGTATCGCAATCCGCTACGTTCAGGAGTGTCCAAAACCTTAAGCCAAGGCAAGTATACTCTTCCGCTCAAAATCCAAACTATATTATCTCTTTTATATGTCGAAACGCCGCCTTTATCAAATCTTTATGTTTTTAATCAAATAGTAAAACATAACTTATACACATAACTACTGGCAACCCGACACGTAGTGGCTACTTGTAACGATGTGCTAACACTATTGTGCGATTACACCGTCTTGTATAATCCAAACCTTTGTACGATCGCACCATTTTGTGTGTCCCAACCTTTCATACCAGGGTAAGTGTAATTCCGCTTCAGCTGTTCCTTGTTTTTATCAAGTATCGTCAAAATTGCCAGTCTGATGTCATGCGGAAATTCCTGCTCCAAATAATAGTTGCCGCTGATGTGATTCCTGCGGTCAGGTTTTCAACCGCTCTACTAATCTCGGCTATGTCAAATCTCCATTGTAGAAATGTGATTGTAACGGCGTAATATTGATATTTTCCAGTTGCTGATGTTCATATTTCCGCAAGCCTTGTCCATCAAAGCCCTTGTTTCTGGGTCTATCCTACATTTTCACTTGCTGGGTTTTTAAACAATCTGCTGAGGTTTCCGAAAATCAGGTTTCTGCCTTTCTCCTAAATTTATTTTGCTATCAATCTGACCCACATTTGAGATGCTCGATGTGTTGTGTCTGCTGACAACGGCTCTTCTTCTTGATGCGCATTCTTAAGTGGGAAGTGTCGGTTTCCAAAGCTGAGAGTCTTAACTTCATTGCTTCATTTGACTGTTGTGCTGTCCTTGGTCATAGCAAATTTGATGGGTTCTTGTAGCATCTATGCCACCTTTTTAGGGCCATTCTTAGTAATTTAATGCTCACGAAGAGCTCGTAAGTGAATCTTTTTCGCGATTAAAAGTCTGGATAAATCTCAATTTGAGGTGACAACATGAGCATTAGATCACCTTCCACCTGCGCCTTGACCGTGCTTTGATTCATCCTTAGCGCCTCGTTCGCGCATACTCGCCTCAGGAAATCAGAAAACCTGGCCATGAAAAGAATAGTCCCTTCCACAGTTACTTTAACCACCTTCCATTCCTCTTCAGTAGCTGTCTCGGTGTATCTGGAAATCAATAGCGAGCTTCAAATGTTGTTTGATCTGTTCGTTATATTATGATTGAATACTGGATCTAAGGAATATGAATGTGAACGGCTTTTCTCCTCCGTTCATTTCGTCGTCTCCCACGACCCTTCCTGTAACTATCACGACCTTTTCCATCCAAGGATTTTTAATGTCTCATTTTTCCTCGCTGCTTGCCCTGCGAGCTCTAATGCCTTGGTCAGGCTCTTCCTTGATTTATCGATAGCCTGCGTCAGATCTAGCATCTTTGACATCCATTTTTGTGTATTCGCTGTGTCATCCTGAACCTCTGTCAGGAAACGTTGTAGCATTCGCCTAGCCTCTGCTTTATCAAATTGTGGTGGACTTGAGGTGTCTGACATCGGTTGCTGCAGTTTTCGTTTCTCTGGTTTTTATCTTTATTATCGCTTGACGTTGTGACATCAATGAATTCTCTATCTGATATTGCATTCACATTCTCCTTCTCCGTTATTGACCCCCTAGGACCACCTCCAGATTTCTGCTGGCTTTCATTCGGCTCAAGTGCTGCGAGAGGATTGATTAGCTCTGAATAAAGGACCGGATAGTTCACTTCAGTCAAATAGGCTGAAGTTTGTTTTCTTGTAGCCTGTGTCTCTTCGGTGTGGATCACCACTTTTTTGTCTTTGGACGATCACTGAGCGCTGTTTAAGTATTGGAGCAGTAGCTGCATGCCATGCGTGGCATGATCGGCTTCAGGCCGAGGCATCGAGGCTGCAGTGATGCAGTGGAGTAGCACGTAACGCACTGAGCGCTGCTGAAGTATCGAAGCAGTCGCTACATGCCAAGAGTGGCATGATCGGACGAGGTCCGAGGCATCTTAGGCAAGACCCTTCAGATGCGCGTGGAGTGTCACGTAATCCACTGATCACTGCTCACGTTTCGAATCAGTTGCTGAATGCCCAGGGCGTCATGATCGGACGAGGTTTAAGGCATCTTGAACAAGACCCTTCAGATGCGCGTTGAGTGGTACGTTATCCTTCAGACGAGGAATGCGGAGCTAGATTCTTCGTCGGATGTTGTTAATAACCTCAAGGCTTCGATGGAGCAAGGAGTGGGGACACTGAAGACGCTGTGTGCGTGTTTCTACTTGTCTCGCCGCGACGTGCAACCTCCGGGGGGTATCAACGGCGACGCCGTATATTATCTACACAACCCAGGGCGTCGACCCTGACCTAGGGTTTGTCTACCGTAGACGATAGCGCACAGCGATACACCCTTGTCACCATATGACGGGGGAGGAAGACGGCGACGTCAACCTGAAGGCTATCTCCGGTGGATGCTCTTGAGCTGGACGAAATGTCCTTCGAAAAGTTAGGCGGTGCCTTGAAGGCAGGCAATTTGGCCGAGGTGGTCATTTTACGACCGAACGAGGAGACAAACTCGTTGCCGCTCCAAAATGATGCTGTCTTGGAGGAGGGCACCAAGAGAGTGCTAAACGCGCGAAGTTGATCGTCGACCCTGAAGGATTTCTCGGAGCCATACTATCCTTTGTTGAAGGGGTTTCAAGAGTCGTCTTCAAAAACCCACCGTCGGTCCTACCTCCGGACCGAGGTGTGCGTCATGAGATCGACCAGGTTCTGGAAACCAAATACTGCGTAACACGCCAATGGCCCCTGCCCAAGGAGCAGTGTGACGAGATTGACGTCTTCTTTCGTGCGAAGCACGACGCAGGAATGGGACGTAAGAGCAAGTCTTCCCATTCTTGGTCGATGGGTGTTACAAATTGCTCGCCAGAGCAAGTGATATTTCGCTGACAACGGTAATTACTCCGAGCGGCATGCTCTTGGAGTGGCTGGTGATGTTTCGAATGCACCAGCAACAGTAAATCGTCTCGCAACGCAACTGTTCAGGCCCACCGGGTGCATGCACGAAACATACTTCGACGACATCTTCGTCCGCAGTACAGGAGGACAGATGAGAAGAACGGCATTTTCCATTTAAGAGCGGTGCTCTCAAGTTCATGCGCACGAATGAGCTGTATGCTAATGCAGACGGCGCAGGAGAAATCCCCTTTTCAGGGTGCTATTTCTGGAAGCGTGGCCTTTAAGTGGACCCCGCTAGGATCAAGGTCATTGTGGGCTGACCGGTTCCAAAGATCCAAAAGGATTTGCGCTTGTGGATTGGCCTCGCCAACTACTTGCACAAGTATAGCGCAAATTATGCGGAAATGGCACGGCTATTGTCTAGTCTCCTTAAGAAGGATACGGAATGGTGTTGGCACACCGATCATTGGGAGGCTTCTGACAGAATCAAAGACAGCCTTCTTCATGCTTATCATTGGCGTTGTCAGACCCGGGTCGTTTTTTTTTTTTACGAATGTGTACTGTTGCGAGCAGACGCCGAGGGGCAAGATTGGGTGATTGTGTTCGAATCTCGCCAGCTTAAGGCTGCGGAGAAGAACTACCAATCCACGACCAGGAATTACTTGCGATGAAGCATGTACTTGTCAAGTTCAGGGTGTACCTGCTTGGCTCAAAGCTGTTTTCAATCTACACAGACCATGCGTCATTACGAAGTGCGACTCAGTCGCCTCACCTCTCGCAGAGGATGGAAAGGTCGCTCTCATTCTTCGCAGATTATAACTTCGAGGTGAAGTATATGCCAGAAAGTCAGAATGCTTTGACTTATGCGTTGTCACGCAGACCGGATTATGAGCTTGCTCATGTCACGACGGTCACGTTGTCAGTAACGGATTTGATCCGCGCTGCATACGCGGGAGATAGTACGTGTGTAGCGTTGCTACAGTCTAGTAGGGGCAAGGAGCTCGAAAACTCGGACAAGAAGTTATCGGCGCGTTTGCGCACACTGTTACACCGATATTCTTCAAATAAAGGTTTTCTGTGCTATAGCACCGATTCAACGGATACGTCACGGATTGTGATTCCTAACGATAAGAATTTGAAATGCTGTATCCTTTATGAGGCCCACGACACCCCACTCATTAGTCATCTTGGTCGTGAGAAGACGTACAGCTCTGTGAGTTGCCGTTACTGGTTCTCGAAGCAAATGGACGAGCTCCTTTGTGCGCACGTGTAAGACGTGTCAAAGGTTGAAATTCTCTCCGAATGCGGCGACGCCGCTGGTCAGTATACCAGTATCATTCGGGTGTTGGTACGTCTTTGTGGTCCGCTTGGGCAAGATGGCTCATCTTGCGACAGTGCCGGACACCATCGACGATGTGATTACAGCGACGCCGTTTGTCGATGGTAGCTTTCGACAACATGACTCCTGCAGTTAATTGTCTCTGACAGAGATCCACAATTATCTGGAAGTTTTGGACGACAATCTTCAGGGTGCTGGACACCAGATTGACTATGTCAACAGCGGACCATCCGCAAACTGATGGTCAAACTGGGCGCGTGAATCACGTCGTTGAAGACGCCGTTGGTAGCGTCTGTGCTGAGACGCCGAAGCGCTGGAGCGCCATGCTGCCACTTATGGAGTTCGCTTTGAATAATGCAGTGCATGCGTCTACCGATTACACCCCGTTCTACGTGAACAGGCTGGTTAATATTTGCGTCTCACTGACGCCATCCTCTGGCTCAGGGCTTGGTGGAAAAGAAATAGCCGAATGACTGGCTGATTTCAGCACCCTCACTGTCCGTAAAGAAGTCGATTACTTCCTGCCTACCAGACGGAGTGTCTTACGACACGTTCGCGATGCGATGGCTGGACGCCAAGACATGTCGAAAGAATATGCAGATGGAAGAAGCAGAAGAAATGTGGAAAACATTGAGATCAGAGACCTGGTTTGATTAGCGTCTGCTGTCTTTAAGACGAAGCTTCGACCAAAGCTTATCGGATCTTTAAGGTCATGGCCAAGCGAAGCCTTGCATATACGCTATTCCTTCCGAAAAGGGATGTGCCCTTACCCGGTGTTTTATGTGGGCTTGTTTAAACCGTACCGGTATCCAGCGTAAGTGAGCGCGGAAGGGTTGACACAAAGCTCGCCCACAAGCGCTCGACCACCCAGAAGCTATCAGCTACTGGTTCTGAGCACGAAGTGCAACGACTTCCGCTTTCAATAGCGCCAGGTGCTTCAGCGTCGCACGAAGTGATGCATTCGTCTGCTCAGTTGCTAGGAGCCGCACCGATAGAGCGCGATAGTCCTTAACGTGAGGCAGCCAAAGCTTAAGGTGCTCCAAGCTCTCGAGGTCTTCCGCACAGCGATATGCGACCTCGGCCAGATGCTCAGTGGAGTGACGATGACGATGGACTTTTCATCAAGATCCCGAAGAGCATCGCGAGTCACCGGACGGCGATCGTCGAAGCCGTTGTTGTCCGCTGCCGACTCTTATCGACGAGAATGGTGGCGTCCACTATCACTTGAAACGTCTTGTGGGTCGACGTCGTCGACAGGATCAAGACTAGTATCTTGTGAAGCGGCGGGATTATCCTAATTCCGAGAATAGTGGGAATTCGAGGTGCCACTTCGGCAAGACAGCCCAGACGTCACAGACGCCTTTGGTCAGAGAGATCATGACGCAACGCTATATCGTACGCCCCGTGCTTCTCGGCAGTAGCCAGAGAAGCCGAAGGACCATGGTCTGAGCTAAAGCTATGGCCCTGAGCTGCTGTAGTCGTAGACTCACCCGTGATTGAAACCATCGAGCTCGCGGGAGCGTGATGGACTAATTTATACACCGCAGGGCGACAATACGTAAAAGTTAGCGTTGTGCCTTGAGTTTGGCAAACTCGAACTGAAGATGGCGTTCTACGCGCATGTCCGCTTCCTTGTGGCTAAAACAACTCTAAAGCCGCTGCACCCATCGCTCAAAGAGTTCTTCATCTCTGCCGCGGTTTTGCCAGGGGCGAGTGCCACATTGCGGGTACAGGAGCGCCTCCTCTTTTAACGCGAAGGCGAGCGCGGTAACTATCCATTGGGGTTTCTTGAGGCACCAAGAAGTTACCTCGGAGAGCTTTTGGTTGGTCAAGCTCGGCTTGTTTAGTGGCGGGGGCCCGATTACGTAGACGTCTAACGATCGAGTGATCGCATCTTTCGCTTCAGCAGCCGAACCCGCCGAGCGTAAAC